ATGGACGCACCGGTAATATTGCAAAACTTTTCGGTAACGGTCATGGCTTCTTTTACACTTTTCTTATCGGTACAGAAAACAGCCACATCGTCAGCATAGGCGAGAACCTTCACTTCAGCCTTCTTAATCAAAATTCCCCGGATGTTCTGGCTTTCAAGTATGCTCAGGCAAAAGGGCTCTAGGTAGAGGGCAAAAAGAAGAGGAGATAGGGGACAGCCCTGTCTAACAGACGATTTAATTGGTATTTTATCAGATAGCATGTTGTTAACTATTAATCTCGTTGAGCTGTTTTCATAACAGAGGTTAACGCCTTCACAAACTGCGGTGCCCACATTAATGTGACGGAGGATTGTAAGCAAAAATGTGTGACTCACGCGATCAAAAGCCTTGGCCAAATCGATTTGAACTAGCGCAACCTGACCATTACTATCTGATGCATATTCAAGGACCGAGCGGGCAACGTGGATATTTGTTTGAATGGATCTACCGCGTATACCGCAGGTTTGATGCTCACCTACAAGGTCTTCGATTACCATCTGAAGTCTTTCATTAATTACTTTAGCGAAGATCTTATAATCTACGTTGCACAGTGAAATCGGCCTGTAATTCTCTACTTTTTTTAGCAGTTCGTTGTCTTTTGTTTTAGGTATTAGAACGGTGTGACAGTCATAAAAGGAAGGGGGGAGCATCTTACAATTGTAAGAGTCGTGGAAAATTTTAAGTAACACTGGGCTTAATTGTTCTTTAAACTTTTTATAAAATTCACCACTGAGACCATCGGGTCCAGGTGTTTTACCGGTCTTAAGTGAGTCGATTGCGGCTTTAACTTCGTCTAATGTTATTGGGCCTTCTACTATCTTTTTGGAGTCGTCGTTAAGAAAAGGCATATTTGATAACAAGTTTTGAACATCAGTGTGACTGCCTGTAGAAATAACCTTGCCAAAGATATTCGAGTAGTGATTATAAAATGCTTTAACAATCAGTGTCGGTTCCTTAAGGGTCACGCCGTTATGGTCAATTTCTAAAATTTCTTTAGACAACGCATATCTTCTTTCGTCATCCAGAGATCGCTTCGTGGGTTGTTCACCAAGCAAAAACTTCTTTGTGCGCGAACGAACAACGGCTCCACGATATTTTTCGGTCTCGAATCCCTGAAGCTGGGCTCTGGTGACATTAATATCATCACTGTACAAACCAGGATTTATGCATTCTAATTCATGAAACATTAAAAGAGTTTTATAAAGTTCGCGACGTTTTTGTTTGTTTTCATAAGATACTGTTGTCGAACGCTCAATTGCCGAATTTTTAACCTCTTGTTTGAAACTATCCCATATGGCGAAAATATGCATATTTTGATTATCAAGGCATTTTTGCAGAATCGTTAAAACTTCCTTGGAAAACTTTTCATCTTTTAGGATACCCACATTTAATTTCCATAGTTCCCATTTAGGTCGAAATACACGGGGAGCCTTGGCGCCAAAACGAACAGAAACCATACAGTGGTCGGAAAAGAAAATTGGTTTGACGTTATACCTCGCCATTGAAGTGAATGCTTCGCCCGACACGTATATCCTATCCAGACGAGCGTGTGAAACACCTTGGAAGTGGGTAAAACGTATTGACATATCTTTCCGACATGCCACATCAACAAGGTTGTGCTCCTGAAGCAGGTCTTTGAGAATCGAGGCGCTTCTGTCATAACGCGTCTGAAGTAGTGCTCGGTCTTCTGCATTACAGACACAGTTAAAATCTCCCATTAGCACTACCACTTTGTCGGTGTCCAAGAAATTGGCTAGAAATTTGAAGAAAAGGAGCCTTGCATTCACAGTATTATGACCATATACACAAATAATCCTCCATTCACTCTGCCTCAAAGAAAGGTCGCATGAAATGAGACGCCCTTCCTGGTCAATGGATAAGGAAACCGACGGATAGCCAAGCGACTTACGCAGAAACAAAAAACAACCAGCAGAAAGGCCCACTGCCTGACTCACACAGATTTCAAAGTCATCTCGAAAGGGTTCTAGGGCTTCTGCAATGTCCTCATCTGATGATAATTTTGTTTCCTGTACAGCGGCTATATCAACATGCTCGTAATTTAAGAGCCTTAAGAGTTGGCGCTGCTTCCTTTTAGACCTCAGGCCTCTTACATTTAGGGTGATAAAATGTAAAGGAAGGGCGGGCGGTCTCCCATGAGCCTGCTTTAAGGTGAGTTAAAGTCACCGCTCTGGTTGTTATTGAGCGGTTTATGATTATTTTGTTTGGAATATGGGTTAGGCCTAAAGCCTACCTGTTTTCGGTCCTTTCTAACCCGTACAAACGGCTCGTCATCCACTGGCACAGGGTCATTCTGGTCGCCAAGTTCTGTGGCAACCTCTGGCCTCGATGATACAGTCTCTTTCTCGCTGGCCTTTGGAACGACCTCGGCGGGAGCAGCGATGTCTTCTGCGTCTGATGGTGCGTCCTCCTCGACAATCGTTGCCGTCGATGAGGCGTCATCATCATCACCGTGGTCGCAGGGCGCAGGCGTTAGCTCTGGGAGGATTCCAGAGTCGTTTTCTTTGACACCAGAGGCTGTCTCTGTTGCAGGCGAGTTATCCTTGATGTGTGCCGTGAAGGTTTCAGCAGAGGGAGTGTGGCCTGAAGCGTCAACGACCTCGGAGATGTCCATCAGGAGCTCCGAGTGTTCTTCCACGTCACGGGACACTTTCCCACGAAGCTTGGTCGCGTAAGTCGTAACGCAAGCGTCAGCGATGTGTCCGTAAGTGCCACATTTGAAGCAGCGCGGTGTCCTGCACTGCCGCCGAATGTGTCCGACCCGGTTGCACCTGAGGCACAAAGGAGGCCTTCCCGGGATGATGACGAGCGTTTGTATTCCGTACACCTGTAGCAGGTGAGGAATCTTCTCCGTCGCCGTTCCTTCATGTAGGGTGATGTCTACTTCCCTGTTTAGGGTGTCCATGTGCTCCATTTCCGGACAGCGCCACTTCTCTCGATGAATGCTACGCACTATGCCGTATGGTGTCAGGGCTTCGACAATGCGTCTATCCTCGAGATGGTCCGGAAGCCACAGGAGCTTCATCTTGAGATCCCGAGTGTTTGGGTCGATCACCAGGCACTTCTTGCCTTTGACGAGCAGCTCACCACGAAGGCAAAGCTTTTCTTTGGCGAGAGCGTTGACGCAGGTGACCATCCATACATGGCCCATTTGGAATTGTCCGGTGGCTTTTATGTCTTTTAGGTCTATTACTTCCTTGAGAGCATCTCGAAAGTCCGGTGCCGTATAAGGCCTGGAGGACATGTCGGCGTGGAGAAATACAGAATTGAGGACGATGTTTCCGGTTGGCAGACGAGGGAGGGTGATCCTGTACTCACTTGAGGTGACATTAGACGATTCAATAATACCTCGGCCAGAGGCCGATGCGGTGTTTCCACCAGAACTCATTATTTCGCAGCCGTTCCAGACGGCCTCTTCTTCTTTCTCCGAGCTACTGGGCCATCTCGTTTCTGGTGGATCTCTTTCCTTAGTAATAATTCAGCCGGTAAACTGTAAGTTGGAAAAGTTTGCTGTCGATTTTTCTCTAGCAAAAGCACTCCCGGGTCGAAGTCGGGAAGCACCACGCTTTGGGGACATTCGCACCTAGTAAAGAAATCGTACGCGTGCATATTCAACTCGAAGTAGACACGTCGTGCTTGACGTTTGCGCGAGCGTTGTCTTCAGCCACGAGAAGGGAGCGGCGGCTCGGCGACGTCTTCGTGCAAATCGGCTTGGTGGCCGGGCGTGTCGTACGGGATGAATACCAATTCTTTTGATCAGTCCCAAATTTCTCTTTTAACGGTAGACAGAATTCTCCGGTACCGCGAACGACAGTTCTGAAACAGAGGTCCCACGCCCGTCGTCCGCTGCCATCGCCGTCCCCGCGAGTCCCACGATACGCGAAACGACGAACGCACAGAATGCTTCCGGTTGTCTGTGGAACTTTTTTTTCAATCAACGTATTTACAGCTTTTTAGAAGCCACAAAAAATGGGTTTCATATTTTTTTCTATTTTTAACATTGAGTGTGTGCCTTCAGTGACCCACGACTTTGATTAAATTTGGTGGTCGCATCGATACCTTAGAAAACGGCCCGTGACCGGGAAAAAGAGAGTGAGCGAGACTCGAACCGGACAATTCTTGATCGGCGGTTTTCGGGCGGAAAGAAACCGAATTTCGAGCCGCAAATTCTGTTCTGGGTAGTTGAGCTCTCATATGTCACGTACAACTAAAAACCTCGGCGAGCATAAATACCCTGTCAGTGTCCCTTTAAAAGAGAAACACTGTGCCTTCGTAGGCGTCGACATGGCGGAGGCTTCGAACCCCGGGGACCACAAATAAATTGAGGTCCCTGGGCGCGTGCAAAACTATCGAACCTTCCCATTCACTTGACTGCAACATTGATGTCCCCTCCAGTATCAGTTACCAAGCAGTCGTCACTTTGAATGTGATTCGAGACAGACAAGAAATCAAAAAGTTTTCCGTGATTCCTAGCTCCAAGAAATCGAAAGCACGCGACCGTGTGCTGTGGAGTAAACGGGCTTTCAAACACGTAATAGAAGAAAACAATCTACTGAGGCTTCGCGTAAACGTTGGGGCTGGAGGGGCGCGGAGCGACCTGGACCGGCTGGTTCCCGGTTTTCCCGCTTGGCGGCGTCCGTTTTGCTGGAGTCGCACCCTTTAAATATTCTAAGCTTAAATGGTAAAACAAAATGGCTAGGTGGCGTAAGCTACCGCCCGATCCAAAGGGCTCAGCCGTATTCATCAGAGCCTGGTATTCATCCATCTATTCATCCATCCATCGCGAATAATGTGAACATAAAGCATCTGTACTATATGAAAACTAATTTGTGGGTCTTTGTTACATGCAACCTCGTTGGTTACACTTTAGTTACATGTAACGTTATCACAGATCAGTGAATATATTTCTTCTTTTTCTTTTACACGTAGTACACATCTACGAACACAAGGAGGCGCAGTTGCCAAATATGGCGCTGTCTTATCGGAAGCGAATACATAATTTCTTTCTAATACACCTTATCCTTGCCGGTGAGTTCTTTTTATTTGTACTTTAATTTGATAGAAAACCGGGGTTTTGACCCGAGAACCCATAAATGCTAAAAGTACCAATATCCGCGATATATTTGTCTTAATAATGGGCCTGACAGTTCGCCTTTTTACAGCATGAGTCATTGTCATCTTTGGTGCGGTTTTCTTGTCTTTTTCTTTATGAACTTATTTAATTTTCCAAGGAATAAGAGCTCGCACTAGGAGTATTTCGTAGATAACTTGATAATGTGAAGTAGTACATGGCACTAATCATTGAAGTTCGTGCGCTTTGGCTTTTTCCTGCAGGTGTCTGCAACCAAGCTGCGGCCGATCGAACGAGTTTAAAAATTTATCAAACTCTTCAAGCCGATCACTTCTGCTTCCGAAGATTGAACGGCACCCACGAGATCGGATGTTCATGTAAGGATATATATATATACATACATTTTTTTTAAATCTTAAAATAGATTGGATTTAGATGTCTAGAGTGCTTGCCCGTTGGAGTTGACGCCGGTTGACATTCGATTTCGCATCTCAACTGCTTCTCGTTTCCTGTAATCTTTAACAACTACAATCTGAAACACGCAAGAGCGCGTTCTTGCGTGTTTTGTGTAGCGCATGTTTTTTCATATGTATATTCCCTTCCCTTCTTTTAAAACGTTTGAGACTGCTTCTCTGACATGCTGTTAAAGGGATACATGTCGTGCTGACACTTCTACAACGCGCGGTCTCTCATTGCCGTGTTTCTGCGAATTTACTTTCCAGCTGACAGGACGGGCAATGTGGGTGTGGTTCATCTAGTGTCAACTGAAGCAGACATACAGACCATCGTAGGAAACCCAGATGGCACCCGATATGTTGCTGTTCTGCCAGTCGAGTTTTTTAACATGTGAGTAGGAAACAAACTCTTGTCGGGAGACTTCCGTATTTTTTAAGGGTTGTTTCTACAATGAAAGTGTGTTTGTTTTCTCGAAAGTGCCAGGTGCACTACGAATTGTACTCCTAGTTGTCAGTGCGCAAACACTCACTCTTTGGAAAAATATTTAGTCACTATGTTGCTCATGACTTCAGCACTTAAGGTTTAATCGCACGCTAAATGTTTTCACCGTGCAATAGTTTCACGAAACAGATTTTGCACAGTTGGCCGATTCACTGATCGAGTTTGTTTACACTAAAACTGTGACATATTGACTAAAGAGAATTTCTCCAAACCCTGTCATCTACACTGGGAGTATCAAGCATTGTGCAGCAAATGATATGAAGTATGCACAATGTGAAGAGACGGTCTTCTTTATTAATATTGCTCCATAAACTGATTTGGCTTACTTGGCTTACTTGGCCTGCCAAACCGGAGAAAGACCTCAAATGTTGGATAAGAGGCAAATGATCTCGAAGTATTTCTGAAATTTTTGCACCCCCTAAAAGATCTGTTATCCTTGGTCATCACGTTTATATGCAGTGATTGCACTCGTCACAACTGCATAGGATTCTACACCGCGCTGTCAACCCATATTGCCCGTAAACACCGCATCTCCTTTCGTCGCTCACCGCCAAGTTTTTTTGTTTTTTTTTGGCTTTGGCTCAGTAACGAGGTCAGCCAAGAATCGGGCTCCTTAAATGCTAGCTCTGCTTCAAAGATCAGACGTCACAGCATTATCAAGTGGCCATTGGCTGTGTCCCTGTTTCTCCTTCAGGGGATTGACAAACCTCAATGAAGTTTCAGCAACACCTTGCTCCAATGGCAATGAGTGTGCGCATCCTTTTTCAGATGTGCACGTCTTTTTGCCATCTCGTTCAAATAGCACATCTGTTTCTCAAAACATAGTTTCGTGACACTAGATTCGCCGAAAGGGTACACTGTGCGAACAGACCTTCAGTCCTTCTCCTGAGCATCCCCTTATCTGGTTGGATTGCCACGCAGTATAGGCATGTGACTTTTACGCTTGCATTGCATGAAATTAAACCTGAAGAAGATGCAATTTTGCTAAAAGTATGAGGGTGTTTAAAAAAGTAGCAGCAAATAGACTGTATTCCTTAGAAAAAAGTCACTAGAGGCATGCCTGGGAAATTTAAAGTTACGCCTGCGGCACGGTTTTCTTAATAGGAAGGGAAGCATATTCGAAGTGGTGATGACGTATCCTGTTTACACCATTGAAGAGCACTGAAGAGTCATTAAATGTTTCTGGTTGGAGAATGTGAAACCTCATGAAATTTAAACATGAATGCTGCAATAGTATAGGGATATTTGCACTACCGAGAGAACAGTCTGCAAGTGGATTTAAAAACGGGTGAACATCAATCCGTGATCAAGAGCGTTAAGGTCGACCCAGCCGTAGCGTCAATGATCACGTCCTGCTTATTGTGAGCGCCGTCGCAAAAGAAGACGACTAACCCCAAACACGAGCCATCACTCGTGTGGCGCACCATTCTTTTTGTTGGGTAGACATACCCGCCAGACGTAGAATAAACGCCACTTTTAAGACCTTCTCCGGTTCCCATTCTCTATATTTAAGCTCCAACATATCAGAAGTGAGATCGATCAAGCTTGATCCAGCGACCACAGCCCACCGTAAGTCAACTACTGTGGCCACAAATTATCACAGCAGCAGCACCAATCAGAGCCTGTACATTGCTGAAGCGAATGAGGAAGGACAGTGGCGGAGCAAGTGGCCCTGTCTGACTTACAGCAACGGTCTCGACTGGAACAGGGAGCACGAGCTTAGGCGGTAGCAATGATGCAACCGCAAGTCCTTGTGGCGTGGCAGCTCAAGATTCGGAACGCTCCGACACCGACAAGATGCAGAACGCTCTGACACCGACACCGTGGAGCAATGAACATCGGTGGCAGACCCAGCAAGTGTTTCGCCAACACTCCAGATTGGGTTGTAGGGACCGACAGGGGACGTATCTGGACTTCAGACTGTTGTACAAGCCACCATGTGAGGAGTGGTCACGAGCATGGTTGACCTGCTTCGTTCCACAATCCAGCCCATGCATGACTCAAGACCACCTCCAGATTCTGGTAAGCTGGTACCAGTGTTCAACCCTATGACGAATTTGGTGCAGACAGTTGAACATTGGATATGGAAAGTTGACAAACTATTGGCGATATACTTGTAGAACGAGAGACAGACAGCATGTTTTGCGCTAACGAAGTTAGAAGGAATCGCCGAAACATGGTACGACAGCCTCGTCAGCGTCCAGCGCTTGGGAGTGGAATGGAAGCTGGAGCTGAAAGAGGCATTTCCACCTGTCGTAAGCCTACAGCGTTGACACCAGGAAATAGAATCGAGGTGAAATCTGCCAAACGAAACCATCAAACCGAATTTTCATGAGAAACTCAGCCTGGCATGCCTTTGTTAACTTCAAGAAGATCAGATCATGAACTATGTCATTACAGGCATCAACGATGAAGCGCTCGTTCGGAGTCTGAGCCTTGTTAAGTTTTCTACTTCAGAGGCTCTGCAGGAGTGCCTCCAAAGTTTGGACAACTGACTCGCCATCGTCGAGAAGGTGTCCCACCGATCCGACGTGGAATCCGTTTCAAGGATGGTAAAGAATGTTTCTTCGAGCGATCGAAATGCCCGGAGATATCAGAAATGGAACTTGCCATTTAACTCTTATGGTGAGCCAGTGTCTCAAGTGTGACAAATGCGGACATATGTCTGCAAACTGCAGTAAACTGAAGAAGCGAGAACGCTGCAGCAAATGTCACCGAATAGGACATAAAACAGCTGACTGCAAAGCATGCGGCAGAGAAAGTATGACCGTCGAAAATCAACACATCGAAAACACAGAACAAGGGAATGCACAAAATGAGAAGTATTTTCAAGATGCCCTTGTAGACGGGAAGCTTGTCCGAACTTATGTCAACCTTGGAAGCCAATGCATTACGCTGTGCAAGATGGATGCCGATGATTTGAGAATCGGCTATGACAAGGCCGTCTCAAGGATGTAAAATAGGAGGCTATGGTTTCAGTCTAGTCCTACCATGTGAAATCACGGAAGCAAGCGTTGTCATGAATTAAGCGACAGCCCGCGTTCCAATCTATGTCATTCTAAGTAAAGCGCAAGTGATTCCTCTTCTTATTGGACAACCCATTACAGAGCAACCACATGTCACAATCATGCGAAGAAGGAGCAGGCTTCACATTTTCGAGGAACAAGTCAGCTTTACTGATGAAGATGAACAACTTTGATGCGTTCAAGTCTCCTATCTTCCACCACGTTCCCTGGCGATAGGGGCCAAGGAGTCTGTTGCGGTTCCACTGAACACGTCTTTGTTGTTGCACAGTTGCGGATGCAAGAAGGTGAGGAACATGGAGACGAGCACGTTTCTGCACATGTCCAGGTTCAACAAGAACAAGAGAAAGGAATCGCTGAATGGTGTCGTCCTTCCGTTGAGGTGACGAATGTTTGGCGCCGGTGGTACGGCAACATGATCGGCGGCGAAGGACATCATTAAGGAAGAACTGTCCCAGTGGTCTTCTGTACTGTCGAGTTGAGCGAACCCCCTGAGGTCCAACATCGCCAGGAGATTGTCCTGATGAGGGCCCACACTCTGCCATGGTCCCTGGACGCTGCTCCTGTTGGGGGCGGCGGTGACAGCGTGGAAGGATCGCAGGTTAGTGATGGCAATGTCTGGGGCATCGTCTACTGTGATTCCAGGCCAGTTTCTAGAGGAGGCGGCCTGAAACTACCGAGGGTCAAGTTGGAGTCGACGCCCAAGGAAGGCGCCAAAGAGACGACGATGCCTTGGGAGTCGCATGGGAACAATGAGGCCGCGGAAAATGAGAAAATGCTCTTTTCTGGTGCTGTGGTTGCTCATTTTCTGTGCCCTGCAGACGAAGGGGACGGAGGCTGAAAGCGAGAGGAGGATAGGCGTGGCTTGACAAAGTTGCTGCCCAATGGTAACTGCCTCGGTGGCAGTAAACACGGGGTGGTTGCTGTGCTCAGCGGTCGGGAGGCAGTCGTGCTCGAGAATTTAGGCGGCAGCGCTCCAATGGACTGGAAGGAAGACTGAGCTCTTCAGAGTGCGCACAAAGCCGTTGAGAACGGCAGCAGGTGCTTAGATTCGGGCTGCTCTCGAGCCCTTCAGCTGCGTCCGGACAGTGCTGTCATTGTCTTCATGGATCTTGATAACTCTGAGTACGACAGACCTGCATCCAACGCGACCTTTGTGGTGAATGAAGGTGAACGAAGGTTACGAAGAGGAATAAGTGAGCAACGAAAGCGGTCCGCAACCCGAGAGTATTGAAACTGTCACCCTGACGGTGAGCTGCCGTTGCCCGATGCTAAGACGCATTTTCAGAACAGATATGCTAACAATCCTCTGACAATGTTGGGCTGCACTAGTGCCCAGAAACCTCTGGACTCTGCAGAGTTAGCAATGGACGCAAAACCCAGGAAATCAGGCATGCTGCATCCCATCGACAAGATCGGTGTTCGGTTTTATACTCTTCATCTCGATCACTTGGGACCGGTTCCTAGATTAAGATGCAGGAACGCATACCTTATTGTTGCCGTGGACGAGTTCACCAAGTTTATGATACTCACTCCTGTTCGGAACACAGCAGCCCAAGTGACCATACGATTTCTGCCACACATCGTTGGACTTTTTGGGACTACCGATTTGAGTAATCACAGACAGAGGGGTGGCTTACACAAGCTCAATATTTAAAAAGTGCTGTAATGAGTGTGACATTACTCACATCTTGACTTCAAAGGGCCACACTGCGAGCTAATGGCCAAGTCAAACTTTCTGATAGGATGATCACACTAGCAATTGCCACTCTAACGAGAGACAAGACTGGGAACAACTGCGATGAAGTTATGGACCCTGAACAACACGTATCACAAGGCAATTGAAAGCACATTGTTCAGACTGCTCAGCTACGAGTCAAGAAGCATGAGGGCAAATTATCTCAACGAAGCTTTGCGTGATGTTTCCAACAAAACGAAAGAAGACGTCTCAAGTCGAAGGGGGGCCGCTATTAAAGCCATCCGCCTCAATCAAGAATTGAAAAAACGCCACTACAGCCAAGAGCGACGTCAAACGCCCGTGTTTCAGCCAGGCGACATCCCTAGTTGTGGTTCAGTGAGTACCGACCTCAAAGGGAGGGTCGCACAAGTTGCATGAAAAGTACGAAGAACTCTATGTAGTCACAAAGCGACTTTCTAATGACACCTATTGCATCGAGGATATACACGAACTCATCTCTGTGACGTCATGGCGCGGTGGTGGCGCGTCGGTCGCACTTCCGGTCTGGGGCTGTGGGCAGAAGTCCCCATGCCAGACGTGTATTCCTGCATTGTTTTGAAAGGAACCAGATGAAAACCTGCCTTCTCGTCAAAACGCCGCGACTGGGGCCGTACCAAAAGTGTCGAGAAAGGTTTGAAAATCAGTTTTCACGTGCTCGGTTCGTCCGAGAATCTGGATATGTGCCGTGAAAAGGGAAAAGCAGACGCCGTCGGACAACGATTGCTTGGACGGGAAGCACTTTGGGTTGGATTCACGGATACTTGTGGTCGTCAGGTTTATTTGTTTTGTTTCAACATGAACGCCAGAAAACTGTCAAGTTGTGCGGACCACCTGTGGACTGCGTTCAGTGCGTCTTCAAGTTCAAACGACCGCCTGATTGTTCGAATTGTCGTCTGCTCTTTCAAAAGTTTCTGCTTGTCGTCTGCTCTCTTAGACGACGCCGGTCCGTAGACCAAATGTTGGCCCGGTACTTGCGATAAGAAGTGAGTGCAGGCCTCAAAAGACTTACATTTGAAGGTTGGTAAGCAGGCTCGATGTAAACAGTAGATACAAGGAGATGTTGGTCATTGTTACCAGTGACCAACACCGACTTGTTGTTATGCCTAATTCAGTTGGTCCGATTCTGCTTGCGATTTTCGGTATCGTCGTCGACCATCTCAGCTACGGTTCACGCTTTTGCAGCCCGAGCGCCGTCGCGACTGAAAATTCCGAGCGAAATCTCATCATGCGAATCAGGCTTTAGCGTACAATCTGCGGCGTCAACGTGGAATGAATCGCCGCATGTCACATTATTCACGCAAAGTTTTGCGGTGTAACGAGCCTTGGTAATTTCGCTGACGCCGCTCAAGATAGTCAGACATCGCCAGGAAGACGTAGAACCAACAATTCGAACGCAAAAAAGTGCAGGGGGACTCACACCGCCGCTGACAACACCGCATTTCAATGGTTTGTTTATGGGCGACGGCGAGCTTTTTACCCACACCCCCATCGCGCATGCGCGGCGCCGGTGGCGTCCGCTAGGGGCGCTCCGGGCGCTCCGGTTTGTTTGTAAACATGAGTTGGTGTATATTTGGCCCCCAGCGGACTCAACGTTTCTACACCTTGACAGCTCTCATCAACAAGCTGAAACGACTCAAAACATGTGATGTTGACATTAAAGAAACATGAAGTGAGGACACTTGAATTTTAAGATGGCCAAGTGTTAGCGTCGTTGCAGAAGAAGATGACTAACCCCAAGCACGAGCCATCGCTCGCATGGCACACCATTCTTTTTGCTGGGCATTAAATGCCCTTTTTAAAACCTTTATTGGCTCCCAGTCTCCATGTCTAAGCTCTAACATTATATTTAAACATGCTGACTTTCGACAAAGGCTTGCTGGCGGCTCGAATTGCAACAGACATGCTGATGACGAGACAATTGACCTTCATATCACAAACATGAAGCACCAAATGGGGCAATCTAACCTACTCCTATTGCCGTGATATCCTAAGATACGTCCACCTTGGAAAGATAGGCCACCACAATTTTCGCCATGGTTTTCTGTTTGTGCAAGAACACCAAACGATGCCACACTCCCAAAAGCCACAACGCCGAGGTGACCTTTGTAGTAACGGGCCAACCTTTCTCACCTCTGCCATCTTGATATATTTGGCACATTTCTCGTGGCCTTTGCTGCCACCATTTGGAACCGCTTCAAGGCAACGTTCGGTTGACTAAGATCTCTTTGCTTTAGGCCTATCAGCAGAAAGCACTCGCATCCAGAGAACATGAAAAGAGCAGCAGCCGTGCCATGGTCCTTGTGGGGACGATTGGCAGCCATAAAGGCTATAATGGAACCAAAACTCTGACTATAGCCTCAGTCTGGCATAGAATGTGGGATGTGGTATCGAGGCTACAACAGAAAGGCAAAACGGTGGTGACTGGGTTCTCGGCGTTCACCTTTTGGACGCAGAACAAACAAAGTTTAAAGAAATAGAGTAACAAGTTGAGCGAGTAGTGGCAGAAATTTCAGTTGATGTTACACATTTATTCTGTGGTTTGAATGATAATCCCGCCAAGAGGGCCGAAAAATCAGTTTGCGTCTGTAAGCGCAACTTTTACGTCCGATAGCTTGCAAGACGAGTTGCATGAATAGACCATGAAGAAGCTGGCTTCTTTTACATTCCTTAGAAGATTGCATTCCTGATCTGTCTACATTATTCTTTATGCAGAGAGCAAGCCATCTGCTTGTTGCGCAGGAGTTGCGGTGACGTCAAAACAACACCGAGCTCTGATTGGCTCTGATTGGAGGGTAGTGGGCAGACCTCAAAGCAAGCTGCCTTGAGGTTTGCCCACAATCCTTCAATCAGAACCAATCGGAGCTCGGCGTTGTGACGTCACCAGAGCCCCTGCAAAAGAAGCAGACGAACTTGCGCTCCGCACAAATTTTTGGAAGTTAGTTCTCCCCTTATTTTCACCCAGTTCGCTATCGATTTGAAGTGGACCATCTCTCGGCATATTACGGTAATTAAGGTATCTGGCTGGCTCGATCGAGCTGCTGCATTATTTTATTCAGGGATCTTCCTTTTCTTATTTGTATGTGGCAACAGTAGATTGTCAGGTTATCCCCTGGCCTGGTTATAGAGCTTGGATCAATAAAAGATGGGCATTTGCCAGAAATATGCAACCTGAATAGTGTGTGCTGACCATGTGAATAGATCTTCCGAGTGTCTGCCATAAAGAGTTGTCAGAGGTTTCCCACCAGAGTCTGGCATTACAAGCTTTGTAGAATGGTGCATCTGTTTGTGTGGATCGTGTGTTCCCAGTTTTTTGAAGCTGTTCTACATGATAATAATGATTTAATTGTTCTGATTGTCTTTATTGAAGTTGTTATACAGTGATGGTCATGCAAATGGTCTCTTGCAGGGGCAACATGTCAATCTTGCAAGATTCTAAACGGGTGACAGGAGTAATTGTTTTGAGGCGCGACAACGCTCTTCCATCTAGCGGCTTCTCACCCGATCAGACCTGCCCTAATCAGAATTTTGGTGAGTTTAGTGTTGGGCATCCCGGTTTGTGTAGCTTCACTTATGGGAGAAATGTTGGCATCTACTTCGGGTGAGATATTTCGGCATTCATTCTGACTGGCCAGCAGGACTACAATCTTAACAGCCCTTTTTCTCCTTAGTTGAGCAGATAACAGTCTAGTATAGATGTTTGCATCTCCATGTCATTGCATATGTTGCAGGAGTATTTTGTGATTGGTGGAGGCTGTCGTGATGAAAACAGAATGATTGTAGAGCTCTGTGATACTGCCAGAGGAAGTGAGGAGACACATATACCTAAAGGCCCGTTCACACTCTTGCGACTGCTTGCGACCTCTTAAACCTGGGTTCCTTAAAACTTCTTAAACCAGAGAACACACTGGCGCCATCTATTGGGAAGCAGTGTAAACTCGACGGTCCGGCATATTTGTTTTTATTTCTCGCGCAATATCCTTTCTTTTTTGGCTCGAAAAACTTTTGTCAATGTTATAAACGAGCCTTTCTATGGGTATTACGCACACTTGACCTCGGAAATCCCGCAAAACCTTCGCTTTTGTGAAATGCAGTTCTAGGGTCCCCGCATAGATGGCGCCACAATGTCAGTGTGTTCCCTCATTCTAGAAACATTTAAGAAGTTGTAAGAGATCTCGTCCCTCTCAGTCATACTCGGTCGCAAGAGTGTGAACGGGCCTTAACTTTAAGAAGGTTAGCACTTATAGTTTAAAGGCCCATGATGCTGACATGCATTTCAGAGCCTTAAGCGCCGTTCACACTCTTGCGACCGAGAAAGACCATACCGGTTTTTAAGCCTTTTGCGACTTCTTAAGACCGGATGCGATGCAGCGGAGCTGGTCCTAAGAGATCGCAAGAGGCTTAAAAACCGGTCTGGTCTTTCTCGGTCGTACTCGGTCGCAAGAGTGTGAACGGGCCTTTATACCCATGTGCATGTCCAATGTTGACTGACAAGAATAGATTTAGAAAATGCTGCCTTTAGCTTGTAACTGCTGTACAGGGTGTGTGGAGGTAAACATGACCGAACTTCCCAGGGTTCGGTTGCTGATTCCGGTTGGTTAATGTTTTGCTTGTTCTTGAAGACCTGCAGTGAGGTGTGCATAAAAATTCCACCGCCGAGGACTAACTGCGGTACTTCCTGAAATTTACTTATACGGGACCGACATGCCTTTCTGATCTCTTGGGTGAAAAGAAATAGCACTTGTTAATCAAGGAAATGACACATCTGCCGAAGGTGTCGTGGGTGAATCTTTATGACTACCTGCCTACGTTAAAGGGACCACGAAACGATTTTAGACAGAATTTTACTCACTGTACATTGTTTATGGGATCAAAGGAAAACTAGCATGAGACAATAGGAAGGCTAAGTTTGAATTTTTGGCATGCAAGTTTGGCAGATAAAAGCGAACTCTATCTTACACTCTCTCCCTACAACGCTCGCAACGAATCTGAGTGCATGAATGGGTGGATTAATAAATGAATTGTGGAGAAGCTTTCTGTAATGGGCAGTAGCTTGCACCACCTTGCAAAGTAACCGCAACATCCGCAGTGTCAGTCTTTTTTTCTTTTTTCTGAGCACGTCAGTTGGATTTAGCTTCTGTATCGGATACGATTAGTGTGTCACTCAAACCATTATTTTTTGTTCTGTGCTGCTAAAGTTTAGATTCTGGGACAAAGTAGGACGACACTCACACACTCTTAGATTGTAAACTTTATCCCATATTGTAAACTTTAGAACGCAGAACAAAAAATAATGAAAAACCAATTAGCCCATACCCAAGCTTTATTGAACCCGAACCGTGCTCGCAAACATTGAAATTGTAAATGAATACCCTTGACGGAAATGACCAAGTTCAATATCCGGTTGCACAAGTCGCAGCATGAGGAAGTGCATGAGAGGTTTCGCCTTAGGTTTCTCCACGAGGAATATCATTAGAAATATATGTTACTTTGTTTCTAGCATTTTGTGTTCGCAATCGAAGTGTGAACCTACGATTCTGTAGCGAGTAATCACCACTCCTCCACGGCCGGTTCCGGCACCAAACTGCTGCGGCCTTTGTCGGATGAGTTCTTGTTTTGTCGCGTGGGCGTCCTGGCGTATGGAACAAGGACCATACTTTCACCATATCGAAAAATTTAAGCTGCACTTCACTCAGCTGCGTCATATCCATAGCCATGGCGTTGAACGTACTAGCGTCACAGACTGAGTCTTATGAAGCAATCGGCGGTCATGGAAACCTCAACAGCTGATGTCATTTCGACGTTCGTGCATTGAAACTTCAACACAAAAACATTGTTTCGATGCAGCGCGATGCTTGACTGATGCGGCTTCCTCGTTTGGCTGGGAGAACTTAACTTTTCTGGTAGAGGCGCACACTTTTAGTCACAGCCACATGATTTCACGTTGGTGGCAGAGCCCGGTTGGGGGTCGAGGAGGAAAGCAGACACGAGTCTTCATCTTTTTCATAAAACGAAAACGGATTCCTGCTCCAGGTTTCATGAACATTGAGGATTAATTAGGTCTTCATTTGGAAAAAGCTGGAAAATCATTTCATGATTCCTTTAAACTACTTACGTACAAATGCTTAAATCAACTACTTTGTGAACGACAAGGCATCGGTAATGGGCATCTAGCTCCCCAGGCGCCGACGCGCCGAGCTTCCCCGCAGGGTTCGCCGAGTTGGGTCTTAAGTTTAGCAGACAATCTTCCGAAAGTTTTTGTTACGCTTTCTTTAGAACGACGCGAGTCTCTGTAGTGTCCAATCTTCTAATGTTTTGTCTAGCTTGCTTTGGTATTCAAGGTTTCTTCCCAGACCACCGTGTAAGCTTGCATTTATATGTTCCGTAATGGTCCAGTTGGCACCTATCATTATATGGAGATGGTTAGCTGAGGCGCTGCTGGCACATCATCCTCACGTTTGTCACGTTGCGCCATCTGTTGGCAGCATATCAAAGTATGTGAGCACCGTCTGCTTAGCTGCGATCACCAAAGCTCTTTAGCATCAGTGGCGTCCCTTGTCTTGAGATAATCAAAAGAACTTCACTTGTGATACTTTGTTTGTGCCGGTGCATGTTGACAACTTAAAAGCACAAGACTGGGGCATGTATAGAGCGTAGCTCTCTCGCAGTTGCTTGCTAGTGAACCAAGAGTCACTGCTCACCCACCCAACCACAATGAAAATAAAGGAGAACCGGAAGTAGCGCAAACACCCTGTATAGACAAGAGTATAGCTCTGCACAAACTAACAATAGGCTCAACACAATTACAACCAAGGTATGGAACTTCTAATGATTCTGAACACTTGTGAGTGGCGGATCTTGCAGATCGCGTTTCTTGAGCCTCCGGGTGCTCACGCTGGTTTCCTGATTGCTGAACAATTTTTTTTTAATCTCAAACACCTTTAATAATAATAGTAATATAGAGTTTTAGAATAAGGTCTGCAACTTTAGCACGTTACGTTAGCGCATGTTCGGCAAAAGAGTTTTAAAATAGCGTCTCTTCGCTACAACGCAAAAACCCAAGCATCTCGCGCGTGCGTCGTCGCCAAGATACAGTGCCAATTTTTATTTTGCACACAGAATGTTGTAACTTGAGAGAAAAAAAGTTTTTGCTGCGAGTGGGTAACATTTTAAACTTGTTTAAATATGAAAATACGATGGGACCGGTCGTGTCCGCTCGAGTTGACTCTGCAAGAGAAGTCCCGTGCACTGACAACCTTAGCGAAGAAGTGTTTGCACGTCGCAAGCAGCAAGTTGCCAGCGATTGTTGCTCAACTTGCTGGGTCCTCCAAACCGTTTGTGGCAGGCACGTCCCATAGAAATGCAATGTTGTTTTTTACTTAAAAAATTGTAGCTGCGAGGATGCCGCTGGCGTCGGGCTCCCAACTGTCGCCAAGGTGGCCGGATCCACGGTCCTTTGAGCTGCCATTTTCAAACTAGGCTTGTCTTGGCCTTGGTTTTAGCCAACTCGCGTATCACGAATCCTTCTTGGAGGAACACAAAGAATCTTTGTGTGTGTGCGCAGTTTGCAAAAAAAATAGTGCCCGCAAAATGCAGACACTACCAGGAAAAAAATATTCTGCAAAAAATGCTGATTTTAAAAAATTACATATTTACATCCACCAACATCCAGAGAGTATTCCCAGAAAGTTTCACTAGTTTAGACTGCATAGTTAATTTCTTATAAATTCTTTTCTGTCCATCGAAGCTAAAGAAACGGTAGGGTTTGGAGCACTTTGAACGCGTTTTTCTCCGTTCACTTTTTGGTATAAATTCCATTTTAGTCAACCTATCGTTTGATAATGGCAATACCAGGGAAGGCTTGTTCTTCACTTTTTCTGACTGAAATTTTATAAGGAATGCGGCTCTGGAATGTTTTTGTCACTTTACGGATGTCTTTTATAAAAATGTTGACATTTTTCGAAGATACAGAAGACCAAAAAGTTAACCAATTTTGCAGAAGAGAAAATTGATAGCAATAAATGACTTTTTACAAAAAACGTTCCATAGCCGCACCTCCTAGGCATTTTGCTACACATCTAGCGAATAAAAATCTTGAATATTGTGATAGTTTTCGAACGATAGGTTAACTAAACAATGTAGGCGTGTTGCTGATAGAAGCTGCCCTAATTTGCTTCCCACTTAACCGACAGACCTGAAATTTTGTTATGTACCCTCTGGCATGACCACCAGCCTGCAGTGTTAATTTCATTAATTTTAATCCAAGGGTTCAAAAGTTGACCCTCCCAGGGGGTGTCTCCCCTTAACAATTGGCAATGCTGCCGCCATTCCTTGCATACGCAAAGCTCTTACGTATGCTAATCTAAAACTCCTTAATAATGCTTCATCTTGCTTTTGCCCACTGGCAACCATGTTGGTCTCGCATGTGATACACACTGCACTGACATCAAACACAAAAACCAGTATCTGCATTCAAACAACAAGCGTTAGAGAAATGAAACTAAAACCGTTTCAAGACATGCCTTGGCATAACAAGAAAGATAACACCATTTATGCACGTGTTTATCGAAATCGTGAAAACATGTGAAAGTGAAAACATGTGAAATTATCAAAATATCGAACTGGAATGCATTGCATGTGACAGGGTTGCTCTGTTTCCTGGTAGTGTGTGCCTCGCTTCTGTAATTGCATTTACTCTCCATGCATACATGTCAATATTATGCTTAAGCTTTTATTTCGTTTTCTTGCAGATTTATATGCAGAAGACAAGGAGTACTCTAGCTGCAAGAAAGCTATGTGGAACCCTTTTAACCCAGCTACCGACATGTTTTTTATGCGTTGGGACTTCCCAATTTTTTTGCTCAACAATGAGACCAGTATTGACATCATTGTGGAAAAGGTGAGTAATACTTGCAAGTGTGCGTGTTTTCTTTTTTTGCAAATATTTTGAATAAAATTGTCTACCATCAATTGTTTTCACCGCTAGCTCGCGCTAGCAGATGATAGCTAAAGGTGAACATCTGCTGCATACAGTGGCAACACCGTACACTCCTTTTACAGAGCATGTGCTGCACTATCGAAAGTGCGGCCATGAAAGCATGGCTCTATTAGTGCAAGCTTTAGAACATTGGAATAGCCTTGTTTTGAAAGGATAACAGCTACTCTTTTCAAAGAATGACTAATTCATTGCAGTGCTTCAAAGAGCACAACCTGCCCAAAGGAGACTCGAAGCCTAAATGGCCCCTATGTGCTGCCCAGCTGAAGACCAGAATGAATGCAGCCAAGGACAGCGTGACATGTATAAGGAGAAGTGGGATTATGGGCTCTCTTACTCCAGGTAGGCCGACACTCGCTGTCTGAAACGTCGAATCTGGAAAGTTTTCATAGCAGGGGAATATGTGTGAATTGCTGTGTCAATCACAAATCATATTCTTGCAAAAGTTTGAAAAAAAAATGTGCTTGTGAAGTAAATTATGCGTTTCAATCAGTTCTGTCTATATAGGGTGGTTCAAGTCACCAGGCTCGATCTAAAATGGACCGTAAAAATCGACGCCTGCACGTAGCCATCTGAACTTTTTGTCAAAGGTGTATTTCACAGGTCAGTTTTTTCTCGTAAAACTACAAAGCGTAGTTCTCTTTTAGTAAAAGAATAGGGCCAAGAAACTTGCCAGGGTCTACGGCGGGCGGTGACCCAGACAACCAAGTCTAGTAGCGGGATGTGTTTGCCGTTCGTATTCATAGGTGGCGTCGGGAGCAGCGTCTGAAGGGGCAGCCGACCAGCGAAAGATTGCAAACGACACGCAGACGAAATCCGTTCGCAGCAAAAGCGCCGCCGTTATGTAGACAAATTTTTTTTACTTTAAGTCTTGCTTTTATTGTTCGTATTTATTTTTTAACCGAAGGTACATTTCAAAAAGATTATGTTCATTTTCATAAACCACGGTTGTCGCGAGCCGTCACGATAAGGAGGTATTGCCAGCTATCAAAATGAATGCCAAACACTACCTGCTACTGGGCCCCTGTCGTCTGCGTTGCTGCCCGCCGTAGACCCTGGCAAGTATCTTGGCCTTACTTTTTACAGAAAGAGAGCAACGCTTTGTAATTTTCACAAGAAAAAACCGACCTGTGAATACACCTTTGACGAAAAGTTTAGATCGCTCCGTGCAGGCGTTGATTTTTACGGTCTATTTTAGATCGAGCCTGGTGACTTGGACCACTTTATACGGTATGTAGACTTGTATCTAGTACAATCTTATGAAATGCACCTGCAGGTCTGCTTGTCCATACCTGTATGTATGCAGACTACCAAACATTCTGGTTAATGGCAGGGGTCCTGTGAAGAATGAGGCACAGATCATGATTTGGCTCTTATTCAGAATGCGTCACACACTCAGTAACCCATTACAGGACTCTTTTGAGTTCAAGTGTTTGCAATGTTCCCTTATTTGCTCGTTTCCTTTGGTAAAGTGCATTGATTGGGTGTACAATGTGTGAAAGGTGATCTACTGTCTTTATTCATAAAATAGTTGCATTAAATATGGGTAAACAGGCTTTTGTTCTAGTTGTCAGACAAACAACACATGTACCCTACTTTTCAGCCAACCCCTAAAGAGATTGTCCGTCAAGCTTTCATCCTTCAGAAACTGTTTAAATTATTTTTGATGCGTCCAGACTTATCATGCTCTCATTTCCATTCTTTGCTGCATGGGTTTTCAAACTTTTCAATCTATTGGAACATCTATCCGCCTTGTATGATGGCTGGCAATGTTAAATCTAAGCAGTACGAAGGCCTCCAGACTTCAATAACAATCAGGAATGTGCTAGGGTGTGTTTAGCTGTGCTTCAATGCACGGTCCAGCGCTGCTTAAACCGGGAAATTACTGGGGTAATGACAGTGAGATAATTTCTGTGTTGGGAAATCCTGGAGGGCACACTGGGAAACCCCTGGGTTCCTGGGAACCCATGGTTTATTAATAGAAAATCAAAACATGAAGGTAGCGGAAGCTGGCAGGAAAAACCCTTGACAAGAAACTCTTGGGGAGACTAGGCTCACAGCTGACATTTTGCTAAGACCTTTAGCAAATACTGGCTACCAGCCTGGGGCTCTCTGGGGGATTTCTTTTTGACTCTTTTACTGAGAGTTAATGTAAAGGGTAAGGGAGTCAGTCTTCAAACAGGCAACTGCATATATAAGCCAGTGGAACTGAAAGGTGTGTTGGTGGCCATAAAGGTACATCTCCAAAGACAGCTAGATGTGACTGTGACTAAGACCTACATAGTCGCTCATAGTCGCTCTGAATCTCCTCTCTGCTGATCATGTTACCTTTACCTGTCGATCTGTACCGTTGACCTCCTTCTCTCCACTCCCTTTCCTGTTCCTTAGCAGCTGGGTTGGATTCCCATTGGTGTGTTTCATTGCAGAATGCATTTTAATGAAAACAAAGTAGGGATTTGAGTCACATTTTTGTCATGGTTGCCATATTGTGCAGTCGTCGACTACATTTAGTGAGTTAACAGCCTGCTGAATTCAGCGAGGCACCACTATGGCTCATGTAGTTGGTGCCTCTATGGGTTGTGCAGTCACTTGACCACATGACAACATGCCTAAGACCATGCCAGGTCTTGTGGCATCACAATGTTATGTCATAGTACTGGGTGTATCAAGGAGTGGCCAGGCTCTATAAATTGACCGCAAAATTTGGTTTCTTAACCTATCGCGCTATGACTTTGTGCAGCGTTGCCCACAGATGATGCATTTTTTTTGTAAACTTTGCAAAGAGCGAACTTACCTGAGGAAAAAGTAAAGAAAGAAAAAGGCTGAGCTCCTATGGAGATGCGGCGAAGCCAAAGGTCTTTAAACAATACAGCGCCTTTTCGCACGTGAGACAAGATGGCGCGATTGGTCGTGATGCCAGCTGCGCCAACGAACGAGCATACGGCGCCGAGAGCCGACGTCTTTAGCAGACTATCTTTTCGACTCAAAAGCGGCGCGAGCTTTTCTGATATCAGTTGCCAATGCATTATTTTATCATCCTTACTGATAAAACATATTGAATGGACACATAATTGATTAGAAAATGGTTTGTCGGGATATTTTGACTGTTTTTTTTTCGGGGTACTGATGTCGTCTGCTTTGCAGTTCCTTGTTGTTATCACGCCTGTTTTTGTTTCTGCGACTGTTGCTGCCTGCGGAACGCGCTCCGCTTTTGAGTCGAAAAGATCATCTGCTAAAGACACCGGCTCTCAGCGTCGTATGCTTGTTCGTTGGTGCAGTTGGCATCGTGATTGCCTGTGCCATCTCTTGTGTCTCGTGCGAAACGGCGCTGTATTGTTTAACGACCTTTGGATTCGCTGCGTTTCCATAGGAGCTAAGCCTTTTTCTTTCTTTACTTTTTCCTCGGGTAAATTCGCTCTTTGCAAATTTTACAAAAAAGATGCACCATCTGTGGGCAACGCTGCACAAAGTCGTAGCGCGATAGGTTAAGAAACCGAATTTTGCGGTCGATTTAAAGAGCCTGGCCACTCCTTGATACACCCAGTATTATGTGACTTATGGTCATGTGACTCATGGTGTGAGGTCATGGTGTCACATGATGTCACGGTCTCAGAAACGTTATTAGATCTGGCAACATTGGGTGTGTGTAATCTGAGGTCATGCTGCTCTGATTTGCGCATGTATCGCTAATGCATTCTGCATGCAGGAAATTTGGCCAGTAGATAAAACGAGTGTCTTAATGTTTTGTAAATATTGAATGTTTCTAGTTAATCGTATGGCTTTTTGGTTGGCAGTTCTTCTGGTGTTTGCAGCTTGTCAAATTGTGGGAACCATGGGGTTCCCTCTATCCCTATCTAGGCCTAGCTTCAAGCAGGCCATGGGAGTCGTCGTCACCAATGGCGTCGGCCTCCCAGATACAAGGAACCACGAGGCCGAATTCCCCGAAGGGGAATTTGGCCTCGTGGTTCCTTGTTCATTTTGGGTGAAGAGTTATGATGGACGCGACTGCTAGTGGCCTCCCCGGGCGCGTCCATTCTCCGAGGCTACATAAGCTGGCCCCGAAGGTGGGCCAGGGGTTCTCGTCGGCGGAGGCCCTGGCTCTACGGAGCTCGGTTTTTCTTTGTGGGCCTCCGACTTCCCGTGAATCTGTCTATTGCGGCAGCGCGGGAAACCGACCGGGTGATACTGGCAATAGAGCCAGCGCCCAGACTTTTCCTGTCTAAGAGCGAAGCGTGCTGGCATTGCAGTCAATAAACACGTCTTTATCCGGACCCCAGGAACCTTCTTTGTGTTCCTAAGTGGTAACCCCCCCGAGAGGGGCAATCCCACATTTGGCGCCCCACGTTGGGCGCCAGATGTGGGATTCTAGTTTACCCTAAAGTCCTCAGTGAGGCAAATACCCACTCCGTAACTGGTCGGTTGCAATAAAGTGGGTTTCGACTTACCTTGCTGATTGCTGTGAGGCAACACCCACTCCGTAGTTCGCTGCTATGGCAGCTGCGGCCGGGTCCGTCCGTTGCCTGCCGTTAGGCTCCGGTGGACGGGAGACCACACCAAACACGGGGATACCGTAGAACTGTTTATTGGGCTTATGCCACATGCTTTGCGCCCGTAGGAATGAACAAAAGAGAAATGAGGTTGGCGCTGCCTTAATTGACAGGGTCACCAGGAGAAAGGTCCGCGCTGCCGTAACTGGCAGGATCACCGAAAAGGGGGAGCAGTAAAATAACGATGAAAGCTCCGTCGAGCGTAGCCCCCCCTAACCAAGAGCCCCGGCCACAGATGGGTGGCCGGCTTATGTAGCCTGCGGGAAATAGACGCGCCCAGGGTGGCCAGTAGAAGGTCACTCGAAAACGGGACGCGTCCATAATCACTCCCAAGGGTGTGCCGATGGCGCGTTCACCCAAAATGGGCAAGGGAGAGCCGGCCCCTTCGGGGAATTAGGCCTCGTGGTTCCTTGTATTCGGGAGGCCGACGCCATTGGCGACGGCGACTCCCACAGCCTGCTTGAAGCTAGGCCTAGATAGAGATAGAGGGAACCCCATGGTTCCCACAAAGTCCAATGATTATTTACATGTTCCTTAACTTTTAAGCTGATGGAAGTGACCCCTTTTAACTACATTTGCAATGCTTTAGTCTCGATTCTTTCATCACCTCATTCTTTGCATCCTGTTTTTTCTTACTCCTTTTTAGGCAGGAGTTCTTTCAAAGCCAGTCTATTATTTAAACGCCCTTTCTTTATTGGAACGAAGAGTTGATATGCGTGTTCTTACTTGAAATAGTTGACAGAATACCCTCCTTGCTAATTATCAGCTCTATTTTGTAATCAGAGTACCTCATGAGAGAAAATAGTCCCACATATCGACCTACTACATCTTTTTTCTCCTTATCTTGTCTCTACAGTTCGGTATTGTGATCCACTAACAGACCGAAACATCTACTCAACGTTGTATCCAACTTACAACAACAAGACAGTCGACGAACGTTCCATCATTGTAGTGGGAGCAAGGGTGAGGACAGTTTGTATGGCCTGTTCAGATTATTCTTTTCCAAACTTTTGCAATCCGACCACAGAGGGCAAGCATTCAGCATATTCTTTTCAAAGAAAAAAGAAAAACACTTTTTTTTGTGACCTTCGCAACACTTTAGCATCATTGCTCGGCACTAGATGCACATGCGTTTGTCTTGCATATGCGAGCAGAGTTCGATCAGTCTTGACCTATATTTCGCGTCAAGTTTCTTGTGCCGAATTAACAAGGCTTGCAAAGTCTGCAGTGCTCCAAGCCAGTCAGAGCTACTTGTGCATGTGCTTAAGCTTTGCTTGTCATCTCCTTTGCATGAGAGAAGATGTGAATGAGACGCTAAACAAAGCCACGCACTTTTGCAGAAGTGTGTGGCTGCAGCACTGTGCAACTTACACTTGTCTTGACAACGTAGCACAGAAAAGTTGATCCCAAGTATAGTGGGACTCAGTTCTTATTGTAATGAAGATGTTGAAATGACTACGGGCAAGCTTGTGGGTGTTGTATAAAGGTGAAAAAAACTTGGTTTTTTCACCTTTATTTGAACAAGATTTTTGTAAACGTTTGCTAGTAGATTGTTTTACTTTCAAAGCATAAAATGTAATTGGGTAAAACAGATAGAGGTTGTCAGGAACCTTGATGAGGTCGAAACATTCTTTAAATTAGGGAGCATGCTAATTGAAGACAGTTGTTGCATTTTTATCAATCTAACACCCACCCACAATCTGAATTCCTTTAAAGCTTTTGTTCTACAAACCATGCACTTGGTTTTGGAAAGCTTTGTACTTACTGTTCTCGCTAAATTGTAAACGAAGAAGGCTTTGATACCCAAAAAAGCTGAAATTTCTTGGCTTCATTTGTTAATTTGTTGCTTCTCCATTGGAGCTTGTTTTTCAAGATAACATGCCATAGAAACTGACAAGCCTCTCGAACGTCTTCTCTTATTGTGGCAATCTGTTAGATGCACACATTGACTTCTTCCTCCACAGATTGACACCTTCTCCCTGTTCGACAATCTCGCACCAGGCGCAGATTCTTCCGTGACTGGAATGGTCACTCTCCTCGTGGCGGCTCAAATGCTGAAGCAACTTAGAGATGCTCACCCAGCTGAGACCCCGAAGAAGAATGTTCTCTTCCTCATATTCAATGGTGTAAGCACTGTTGGCATTTTACATCTTCTTCTTACTCATTTGGTGACAACAAACGGGGAGGAAACAGACACGATTATTCACCTTTATTCACTAAACCAGTGGTTCTCAACCATTGATCTTTCACGGACTCCTTCTGGATCGGCGGAAAAGATGGAGGACCCCGTTTGTGGTGAGAGGAAGGGAAAGGTGTAGGTTAATTATGATGATGATTTAATAATTGGATATAGCTAAGGGCTGTGTGAAGTAGATTTCTCTCATTGACATAATGGGAAAACTCATCGAAAATTAAAATGTTTATTTTCAATCTGAAAAAAAAAAGGCCAATTTTATTGTTGGGGTTGACTGATGAGGAAGGGCTTTGCGGAAACCGCTTGAACCGTCTTCGTTTGCCCTTCGGTATCATGAACATCAAAATTGTTTTTCATTTTGATGCAGCAAGTACGTATAAAAGCACTTCTAAAATAACGCTGAAGCCTCTCCATCCCTGCTCGGTCAGTGCAAGGATAAAATCTGGAAGTGAGCGTGACCTGCTATACAGAGATCTCAACATTCACGCGCCTTCCACGAGCCTTTCCAAAGTGATCAACAATATGTTTTGGGTTAATCTTTTTTGTTCTCTTATTGACTCGCCCATTTGCTAGTACCAGTTAGTTTGTCTTTGCACTTGATTTTGCGGTTGTTTATGGTATGTTTTAATTTTATGGCATTTCCTAACTTTCATGGGGGTGGCTTCCCAATGCACTCCTTGTATCCGGTAAATTTTATGGGCACGTGCAGCTTGAATGCTTATCAAGCTTTGTACACAGTGCCTATTTACTTCTTTTATAAATGCCACAAAAATAGTCGGGTGGCATTCGACTGGTGGCCCAGACGAGCAAGCGTGTGTGCCGTGCGCAAGGAGGTTATAATGGGCAGGAGGTGGCGTCCCTGTGTCCAATGCACGTAGCGAGGTGTAACGGAAGTAGCAAAGCCATGATCTCTTCTCAACCAATGGGGAGCTCATCAATGGATGCCACCATTAATTTTGGGGCAAACAACCCTCGTTGCCTTGGCATTTCTGTGGCAACCCGCTTTGTTTGCTCCAAAAATCAATGGTAGCGTCCACTGAATCGGTGTCGAACAGGCGAGAATTGGGGCCCGACACTTGCCTGACCAGTAGGAAGTCGGTGTGTAGCAAACGCTCTCGACACCGCGCCTGGAGCGTCGTCTAGAACGAGTCGTCATAGTACGGCTTTGGAAAGCGATCGCGTGTCAGTCGTCGTACGCACGAACGCTGAGAATGGCACCACGGGTTGAGAAAGCCGTACAAACCCTGCTTCCAGAAGGTGTTGGTTTCACTCCGCCGTGATGAGAATGCGGGTTCGCATCGAGACATCTTTTGGTGCACCAGTTGAATTGAAAGGCAGTCGCGACAGCGAGTAGACGAAGCAGACTGCAGGCACAGAGCAGACGTAGCCTAAGCCTAACGCAGTCGACCGAGCAGCGAGCAGACACTGGGAGCTTAGTTGGATTTAGTTCGGAGGAGAGCGGTTCGGTGCGCAAGGCAGTTTGGGATTGGGTTCTTTTTCCGGCGTTGCTGGGCATGACGTGATGCCGGGTCTTGCCCTATTTAAACGTCCTTGGCCGTAGCATGAACACAACTTTCGCAGACTTGCAGTGGCATGTGCTTGCGCAGACGAGCAGCATGCACGTGGTAGGACGTAATATGCTAGTGGCAAGTGCTTGTCATATTTGGATTCACACAATAAAAATATGCTGGAGGTCGCCTCTCTCATTCCTTTCGGGAATCTTTTTTAGCCAATGTACAACAGTTCTGCAATTGAAATAAGCACTCACCAGCTTGTATGCCTTGTCATTTTATCTAGTGACAAAAACTAAATTTCTATATTTTTGTGTTACTTTTTTAGCAGTCTGATTATACAGTTGGGTTCCCATCTCTTATAATAGGGAAATGTTTGGGTGAATGCCAGAAAGCTAAGATATAATTGTTTGTTCTTCTCCAGGAAGCCTTTGACTACATAGGATCAAGCAGGGTGGCGTACGACATGGAGAAAGGGGACTTCCCCGTGAGGCCCAACTCTGGAGTGTTGCTGCCAGCAGCCCTAAAGATGGAACACATTTCTCACTTTCTGGAGCTAAGTCAAGTGGCTCCACTTGGAGGAACCCCAACAGTGTACTTGCACACAGACCCTATCACCACCAAGACAACAACAGTGAATGACACTGTGAGTATGACTCGGCAGCCAGGAGCATGTACTAGTCTCCGGAACTAACTACCTATTTGGTGTATGCTTTATGCTTTGAAAACAAAGGTCAGTTACTGACGAGCGCAGGTAAACTTTCAACATGCAAAAATCGGTATTGCACGGCACTGAACAAGAAACTCACAGAGTTTACTTTTGCCGAATACACATCCCAAAAGGAGAGTCTGTGCTTGTCACCAGACACAAATGAAGCATACCCTCCCTCTTTTTCTCTGGTAACATTTTACGGTTTCTGACTTCATTTGGGGCTTTTGCTCACTAAAGGCATTTCTTTAAAATCAAAGGTGATTCTATAGCTGGTACAGTAATCCCTCGTAATAACTAAGTCAACGGGACGGCAAAAATATTTGATATAAGCGTTAATTCTATAAAAGCGATAGAGCCAAAAAAACAGTGCCTGCAGCCTTGAAGGTGGATGGGAGCACTGCGGAAAATCTCGCGGCAGCTTTACCAAGTAAAAAAATAATTAGGTGGTGTTTGTCGATAATTTCATTTGGGCATCAGTTTTCTTCGAACTGCTCCGGGCACCGCAAAAACACTGTCACCACCGCTGCGCTTTACTTTGTTTTGAAGCAGCCGTAGGATGTTTCGCGTCTCCGCAGTCGTTGGCGTTTACTGAGGTGCCTCTCCGACGTCGCTTCGTGTTTGTCCTGGCCGCACGCAAGGCCTACGATCGCAGCATCCGTGGCGGGAGCGATATTGGGAACGTCTGCATCGACAAGCTCGAACGAATCAAAGTTATCCTCGGTGGCTTTGCTAGTATGTTTTTACACACTCGTGCAGATATCGTTGCAGCTATGGAAAGCGTGCGCCTGCTCGGCAAGCATGCTTGCTAAAGAAAATCCGATGTGTGTGAAGCGATTGACGACCTTCTTAGGGTTGCGGGCACGCTTTCTTTTGCATGAGGAACTTCTTGAACCCGTCCAATATACCTTGCTCGTTCTGCAAAATGGTGGACAGTGTCGAACAGCCGATACCGGAATGTTGTATTCTTTGGTGATTTCGGACTTGGGATGGCCACTTTTCTCAACCTCAAACATCTAAGTGACTTTTGGTAATTGCTCCCAATCTCCCATACGACGCACGTGTGTGTGTAATATGCTGCAGGCACGCACATTGGGCGCTTCTGAGGGGATCTCCGTTGGGCTCCATCGCTCTCTTGACCCGATTCCGACAGGGGTCGGGCAGCGTCGGCCGTGGGTGCCATGAGTAGCGTCGGAACGTTGATGCCGCTCCCGCTGCTCCTTGCTTGTGTCCCCGCGTCGGCGCATTGGCATCGGAAGCGGCGCTCTGCCAGCCCTGCGTGCTGTGCCCTCTGGCACCCGTTTACTGCGTTTTCCCAGTTTGCCGTTTGCCTCGGTGGAGAAGGAGGAAGGAATACAAGGGTCTCTGTGTGCCTCCCTGTAGGCTTGCATGCTTTTGGCAGCTAAGCCTTCATTGTACTGTATTTACTCGCATAATGAACACACTTTTTTCCTAAAAAATTTACACATATTTGCTCATTACACGGGGTAACATTTTTGCATTTAGACACTTCATGCAAATGTCATATTAGGTGCCAATAGGACCCGGCAAGGTACTGTGACACGTCTCCACTGATGGAGGCGCACCCACGACTGGTCGGGGGCGCACCACAGTAACCATGCTTTATAAATTGCGAACATTTTTAGGGTGCTTTTGGCGTGCCTTTTGCCGAGAGAAAAGTGCCCTACGAAGTTCGCGATGTGACCGTTCTTAGGCCTAACCACTTTTGTGATTTCACTCTCTGAAAGCAGCAAAGGCGAAGAATGTCCGGGGCTGGACAATTTCTCAAGCCAAGCTCCGTCAAGTGTGCGCGCTGCTCGGTTTCACTGTTGATTACTTCTGCAACTACGCACTTGCAGCCATTACGAGAGTGGCTTGGCTTGGCTTGACTTGGCCTGAGCACTTGGCGGCAAAAGAAAATTGTCTTGTTGGGCTTGATGGCTAGCTAAATTGGGCACAATTCGAGACTCGTGGAGTCGAAAATTGAAGGTGCATTCATTACACGAGGGAAAAAAAAAAGAAAATGTTGGTATTGATTGTGGGGGTGCATTCATTATTCAAGTGCGTTCATTATGCGAGTAAATACAGTAAGCATGGTCGGCCGCCGATGCACTTAATATAAAGAATAATTAGGTTAAAAATGCGTGCATTTCGTTTGGAATCTCGTTGAACTTCGATAAAAGCAATAATTTGAAAAAAGGTAGAGGTGTGCGAATATTCGAGATTTCGAATAAGAATCATATATTTTTCTTATTCGATTCGTATTCGATTCAAGATTTGCATATTCAGAAATTTCCAAATATTCGGTTATGGCCTAATATTCGGGCGTTTTATGAATATTCGGACAAATAGTGAATAATCCGCGCATGGGACATGCCCTGAACATTCAGAGTTTCCTTAAAAGCCGTGCTTAGTTGCCTAAACACGGCTTGTAAGCCATGTTTAAACGACTAAATACAGTAGAATTTCGATATACGAATCTTGCGGGGTCACCAAAAATATTCGTATTAGCCGAAATTCGTATTAAGGCCCGTTCACACTCTTGCGACCGAGTACGACTGAGAGAGACGAGGATCTCTTAAAACTTCTTAAATGTTTTTAGAATGAGGGAACACACTGGTGTTGTGGCGCCATCCATGCGGTGACCCTGGAACTGCATTTCACAAGAGCGAAAGTTTTGTGGGATTTCCGAGAAGGCTCGTTTATAACATTGACAAAAGTTTATCGAGCTAAGAAAGAAAGGATAATGCGCGAAAAATTAAAAAAAAATATGCCGGACCGCCGAGTTTACACTGCTTCCCAATAGATTGCGCCAGTGTGTTCTCTGGTTTAAGAAGTTTTAAGGAACCTAGGTTTAAGAGGTCGCAAGAGTGTGAACGGGCCTTTACCCAAACATCCGAAACTAGCTAAATTAACAAAAAAATCACACTGAAAAACTTACCTAGGCACACAGAAAAGCTCTATTTATTCTTTACCAAAGAAATCTCGAATGTCTTTCTGCGATTTCTTTTTCGCGAGGTCTGCCAACAACTTCGCTTGAACGCATAAAAACGCGTGCCTGTGTCCTCGCCGATTTCTTGTGCGCCCATAGCGCGCCTGAGAATGTCGAGTGCATGCAGCGTTTCAGCTGCCGGTGGTTGTAGTCGCTCGTCGTCACCCTCATTTTTGCCGTCGCCGTCATCACTAGAATCTGCAGCCTCGCATGTGGCCTCACCAACAATGTCCTCCACCGTGCGCGCACCACAAGTGGCTAGGTTGTCATCCGCCGAGCAAAAATCATCAGCGGTGCACCTGGCATCAAGGCAGTCCCACTCCTCAATTTCCGGATTTTCTGGCTCAGGGTCGTCACCCTCGAGCGCAGTAGCAGCAGAAACGGCTCCGTGTTGCGGTCCAGCTCACGCTCAAAACACACGCTCGAATGAAGCTCCCAGGCCTGCTGCGGTCGGTGCTCCGCCGCCTCGGCGATAAAAGAAAAAAAAAAAAAATGTGAGCCTGGCGCCATTTGTCATCTCAAAGCGAAATAAAAAAAACGCACTGCGCGACTGACGACCTTGGCAAGACTCCAAACCTGTTGCGGGCCGCGTGCGCGTGCCGGCGGAGTTGCTGGCGGGCGTTCTCCACGGCGGCTGTCAGCGGGGCAGCGTCTGTTCCGGCGGAGTTGCTGGCGGGCGTTCTCCACGGCGACCGTCGGCAGGGCCAACGTTTATCAGCGTCTGTTCGTATCAACTGAACAGGGACGAAAATCCATTCGTAATAGCCGTACCCTAACCGATTGAAAACTAGTGGGCCTCGGCCGGGACCTACAAAAATTTGTATCATCCCGAAATTCGTAACATCCGTAATCGTATCATCGAGATTCTACTGTACAACTTGTAGCAAATTTTTTTGTAAGCAGAAAAAAATTGCTACAAACAAGAAAACCGCTTGTAGAGTCGAATCTCATTAATTCGAACTCGAGGGGGACCAAAAACTTGTTTGAGTTAAACGAAGTTCGAATTATCGAAAGCTGATTAAATGGAGTACTTAAGTGCAGCGCTTCGTTGGGCGGCGCATGTTCACTGAGCTAACACATGAGTGGCGAGTTCCAGGACATTTGTTTTCACCGATCACAAAGGGAAGTAATCCGTAATGCCTGCCTCTGCGCGGTTCCTCAGTCGTGAATCAACAAAGATCACTTGGAGCTTGGAGACGAGCTCTAATGCGGCATCCGCAGTCTTCTGGCAAGAGAAGTAGCGCGTGGTGGTGTCCAGCGCTTCGAGTGCTCTTCATGATGATGTGCTTCTGAGATAACGTCAGTGACAGTGACTCAGATAACATCAGTCGCGTGCCCGCCGAAAACACGCCGAACCGCAGCAACGTGAGAGTGCAAGGCAAAAAACGGAACTGTCGCACTCCCGCCAAAAACACGCCGAAGAGCAGCGGCGCAGCAAACGTCAGTCGCGTGCCAGTGAAAACTCGTCGAACCGCAGCAACGTGCGAGTGCAAGGCAAGAAACGGAACTGTCAGGCTCCCGCCGAAAACACACCGAACCGCAGTAGTGCGCGAGTTCAAGGCAAGAAACGGAACTGTCGGGCTCTCGCCGAAAACACACCGAACCACAGTAGTGCGCGAGTTCAAGGCAAGAAACGGAACTGTCGGGCTCCCGCCGAAAACACACCGAACCGCAGTAGTGCGCGAGTTCAAGGCAAGAAACGGAACTGTCGGGCTCTCGCCGAAAACACACCGAACCACAGTAGTGCGCGAGTTCAAGGCAAGAAACGGAACTGTCGGGCTCCCGCCGAAAACACACCGAACCGCAGTAGTGCGCGAGTTCAAGGCAAGAAACGGAACTGTCGGGCTCTCGCCGAAAACACACCGAACCACAGTAGTGCGCGAGTTCAAGGCAAGAAACGGAACTGTCGGGCTCCCGCCGAAAACACACCGAACCGCAGTAGTGCGCGAGTTCAAGGCAAGAAACGGAACTGTTGCACTCCCGCTGAAAACGTGCCGAAGAACAGCGGCGCAGCATCGTCACGGGGCAAGAGAGCACCGCACCGCTCATCGCGGCATTCAAGGTCACCACGTGACCGGTTGTCATGGTTATTTGGAACTGGAGGCGTTGGAGGCGCTGCCGCGTGAGTTAGCCTAAGGCCCAGTTAGCCCAAGGCCCAGTTAGCCCAAGGCCCAATTAGCCCACTCCTGAAGGCATGCTGGGCGGCGCGGGATGTTCGAATTAACTGGTGCGGGCGTTTAAGTGTTCCAATTATCGGGCGTTTTCGCCCATTCAAATACATATAGTGTAGTCCGGACCACAGCGTGAGTTCGAATAAACTGAAAGTTTGAATTAAGCATGTTTGAATTAACAACAAGATTTGACTGTAGCAATTTTTTTTTGTAAACCCTTGTCGTTTACATTATACATAGGACTATACCGTGTTTGCATGATCCAATGCACCCCCAAATCTTGTGTGCAGGCACATTTAGCTTTTAGGTATTCAAAAAGTAAATTACTGGTGATATTTTACCATGCAGGTAAGATAATCAAGGTTGAACACATACCTCATAGAACAGACTTTATGAAACGCACGCCAGTACAAAAAAAGGTTTGAGGTACACCGAAGTACTTCTTATGGGTTGTGAATGTGAAAGCATGAATGTTGTTCTTGCGTGCATCCTTGTGAAGTTGCCGCGCCTTGCTGACATCGACTGTGAATGGCACAAGATCGGCTGGTGCGCTCGGGCGGCAATGCCGCCGCCAGAGCACGCCAGCCGATTCTTTTTGCTGGCACATGGACATGCAGTGCCATGGGGTGGTGCTGATTAAAACTGACGCCCGGCGGCCTTCTTCGGCTTCATTTACTTGCCGCTTTGCTTAGCTTTTTGCGCGGCTTCAAAGCTGGGATGCCTCAGATTGAGGCTTCACAAATTTATCTGCCGTTTGGCGCGGCAGATGAAGTTGGCTTGCTCCATGGGACATTTAATGCTCTCGCATTAATGCACTAGCCGCCGTTGCTGAAGTTCGACGATATCTCTTTGCTGTCCACAGAAGTAATCCTTGCTTTTGTCTAAAGCGTTTTAGATGCCACGTTTCTTGCACTTGTATGAGTGCACAAATACCGTCTCTGGGAGGGTCGTCTTTCAAAACAACTTTGCGAGCTTGTCGGGCTGCTGGGATTGCGAGGCCACGCAGTGTACTCCGTTGTTATAGTTTCCCACCAGCGTGTTGGCCTTTCGTTTAAATAAAGGCTCTACTTTTTGTTTTGTTTTTCTATGTTAACAGCAGACACAAGTCCGTAGACTCAAGAGAATTTGCGTGATACGGTTACTAAAATTATGGTGCCTGAAGCGCGTCTTCGACTGATTGTGTTTAGCGACCTATGCTGCCCATACATCAAAAGTGGTCCCGAAGTAGTAACAAACGACGTCACAGAAGCCCAAGTGTCATGCTGTTGCTTGTCACGATCCTGCTGGTTGGTCGTAGAAATGCTGACGAGAAGCTGCGAGTAGCACGAGCGAATGCGAGTATCGCCGTCGTCACGGCGTCCCAACTTCTGGCTGGCGAAGCTTCCGTTGACTTCTACACCTGAGAGCAACCAGCTGCAGAACAGGCATCTGCCACATACACCACAGCTGTTGGGATGCCGCCAGGATTGCGACTGTCGTCAATGATACTTCTATGATGTTATCAGGCAGAAATCGAGGGACCACTTTTTTACGTCGCGTTAAAGACTCCAGTCGGGGGTGCGTTCCAGGCACCATACCAAAATGGCAAATGTAAACAAACGGTCACTATGACGATGGGGCTAGTCACCTTACACTGAGTATTGCGTTTTTCTTTTGAGTTTCGATTTTAGGTTTTAATTGTAACGTGAATGTATTTTTGGGCACCGATTTTGGCGAAAAAAGTGTTTGCGTGAATTGTGCAAACAGGTACGTATTAGCTCACGACACAAAGGAGCAGTTTTGGTTTTCATTTTGCCAAGCCTGGCATTCTGAGTCATTTTTCTAGTGACCTTATCATTTCTACTGCTGGAGGAAGGGTATTTTCTGCTGCAAGGGCTTGTCAAGGCGAAAAGGGAGCGCTTATAGTACTGAGCGCTTGAAACAATTAATTTTTTCGCATGATAATTTGCAATAATTGCATTTCAGCTGATATTTAACTTGTTGGCTAGTCAAGGGCAATTTCAATTATTATCTTAAAATGGTCACTACCTGTTGTTTGTGTGAAAACGTAAGAGGTTGCATTTTTACATGCCGTCTAGACGTGCAGTTTTTTATACTCTTAATTTTGTAAATTTGTATAACTTGAAATCAGTTGCACCTTTTGCCCGCTTTCATGTACAGTTTGCAGATGATTACTAGTGAAGGCATAATAGCTGTGTTACCAACTGGATTGTTTATATGCTGCCTAGTCAGGCAATTTCTTTTACTTGATTTTGTTATCATTTTTGGTTTGGAAGGTAATATAAAAAGTATTGGAATTATTATTTTTTAATTTTTTAATGGTACCCAGATATTCAGAACATATTTGAGATTCAAAGCTAATTTTTAAAATATTTATATTGGAAAATTTCAATATTCACACCCGTAGAAAGAAATGTTTTCATTATAACGAAGTATTCCTGTATTTTATCATATTCTAGGGAGTATGGAAAAATTACACGAGTGATCCAAAGAATGGCCACATGTCTTTTCCGCATAATGTCGTTTTGGTTGTGGTAAATAAAGCAGCTGAAAGCTATCCTTGAGGTGCAGTAACCTGTTGAGAAATGGAAGGCTATACTACTAAGTTAAGTTACAACAGGTCTCACACAAAGGCATAGCTATATCTCAAATGCTATTTGCCTGCCAAACTTTTTGTCTTAGCCAGGAAAAGGAACAGATGTGCTTTGTATTGGCTACTTGCAACTCCTTAGGAAGCAATGCCACCAAGTGGTGAATATAGCAGGCATAGAAATGCAGAGCTGATGTCTGTCAAAATGTGCATTGAAAACTGGCATTGCCTCCTGGCTGAAGTATGAAACGGAGACTCGGCGGTTAAAAAGTGTAGTTGGAATTTTTTTTTATGAATTTCTTTGGCAGTGCTATTAAACTGACCACTGGATGTAATGTAAGCACGTGAACCTGCTGTTTCATGTCAATGATTACTTTGACTGCCGCAGTCAATCGCAGTGCAAGAGTTGAGTGATCCACAAAACATTGCCTTTGCACATAAAAAAACATAGGGCAGAGGTTCGCAAGTAGGGATATTCGTGAAAGTTCGAGATGCATATATGTTGCTTAAAATCGCTCCGTAATTTCTTTTTAATCTCTAGAGGAGCAAGCGACAAATGCTTAAGCTACTTTTATGTCAGTGACACCAGTAACTGTGGTTGTGTTGCATCGTAGGCTAATCGGTTGATCATGGAGCTCGAGAAGGCAGCAAGCGAAGATTGGCTGAAAGTCCCCGTGCAAGCTTCACCCAACGACCAGCCTCTGCCCCCTTCGTCAGTGCAACAGTTTTTGAAAAAGGACAAGCAAATTGCAGCAGTGGTTCTGTCAAATCACAACAAACAGTTTGAAAACAGGTAGGCTGTCTTTCTTTTGTTGAGGGCCATATCTCTAAGGCCGCCATTAGGTCCCATTGAAGTCAAGTGGCATATGTGCATTGTATGTTATGACAATAAAATGTTTGTTCACTTTCAGGAGTACCATATTTTCCAGCATATGGAAATTGCAATTATTCTTCAGTTTTTTTTTAGCGTAATGTTTTATACAAAAGTGTGACTTATGTGCATATTTTTTGTAAGGTATGAACCTTGGACTGTATGAGATGTAGGCTGTATCAACATCTTATGGCAGTGAAGGAATGGCAGAGCATTCACCAACGGCCTGCTCTTCTGATGGTCCCAGGACAGTTCGAAGCATGGCGGCATTTGCCCGCGACTATGGCTTGTGTACCAAGCCATAGTCGCGGGCTTGTGTTATCGGAACGGTACTCGTAAGAGTTACCGTTCCGATAACTCCGATAATGATACCCGACACTCCGCCGCTACCTTTGCGCGCGCATCGTATTGCCGTTGGGTATCGTTATCAGAGATATTGGAATGATCTACTAAAACTCTCTATAGACTTGAAAATATGGTGAGTGCACTATGCAGAATAATCTTGTCTCGGATTACTGTAATGTCAGAAACCATTGTATTTGATGCTACAGTAATAAATATCGCTGTGTTTGGATTTCAAGTAGCCGAGCAGTTAGTTGACCGTGTTCAACCTAAACTTAATAGCTTTCTCTAATTTCAGGTACTACAACAGCTTCTTTGACACCTGGGAGAACCTGAATGACACAAACGAGGGCATCCAGAAGACTGCTGGCCACCTGACCAAGGTGGCCGCAATGGTTGCCTTGGCCGTATTCAAGGAGGTTACCGGTCAAAATGCCCCTGAAATACAGCTGCAAGATTTCAGGGTGGGACATTGACCGATATTTGTTTTCGACTGCTGGTTCCGTCTCGTTGCGGCATATTCGTGCGGGAGAGTTACGCACACGGAGAGATGTTACGATGGAAGTGCAGCGTCATACATGCTGCAGCGCTCGCATTACGGCCGTCTCTTTTTCTTTGGTGACTGGGAGGGACTGTCGGGCCTCCTCCTTCACAAACTCTGCCTTGCCGGGAGGCTATGCACTTAGGAAAGTGGTGCAGGAAAACTCCCCTTGAAGTCTAAGTTTTTTTCGCTCAAATGTTTATCTCGATGACCGCCCCCTTAGAAAAAAAGAAAGAAAACTCAATTTTGGTATATAGCTTGCCAAGGCTGGTTTTATCCCAGTTGAATTGACATACCGTATTTACACGATTGTAGGTCGACTCGATTGTAAGTCGACCCCCCCCCCCCCCACATCGCACATTAACAAAAAAAAAAAAAAATTTTTTTTTTTTTAGGTGCGCATTTTATTGCAAACACAAGAGAACGGCAAAGTATCTGTTTCGAAAGCCGAGCCTCCAACACGCGATGGATGCCTTCTGGCGTGCTTTGGCTGCGCATGCAGGTGCAAGGTGCATGAGATGGCCAGGCGTTATCGGAACTAGGAAGTTCACGCTGGAGGCGGGACAACTGAAGCTGCTCACTGTCGTTCTCACGCCATTCGCGACTAGACTACGACTCGTCCGCACTGGTGATGTCAGTCCCGTCATCATCACTGCTACGTTCTCAAAGCACGTCGTCGGCGTCGTCCAATGAAATCTCGCACTTCGCAAATGACAGGATCAACCGCGTCTTCCGCGCTTCCTCGGCGATCGCGTCGGACGTCACGGGTAGGGACCGATTGCGCACGTTTGCGGCGTACGTTGCAAGCGTGACCCCCAACTCCGGAAGGCATCCCCACCTATCCAGACTTTGGCCTTCGGAAGCTTCTTTGTTTGCCGTCACACTTTAAGATTCCGCACCACCGCAGACTCAACTGGAGCATCACCCACTCCAGTTGAGTGGGTCATCGAACTTGCGTCCAACAGCGCAGTTGTTGGTTGCTTCTGAGGGAAGAATGGCCATAAACAAGCACCGAAAACCTAAACTGCCCGGATCACGCGTTTCAATACAAACGAACATAGTTAGCGCACCGGCATGATCTCGTACTCGATCAAACGATGTGCGACCGTAAATCGTGCGAAAAACTGCAAAGCCGCGGCGCGAGCGAGCCAAGCGAGCTGTGAGGCTGTTCCAGCGGCCTCCGGAGTGGCTCTTACGAGAGGTGCCATCACCCCCGGGAGTCGGGCGCTCCGTGCTCTGTTCACCGCCGTGCATTCGGGTTAATTTGCGAATCGCTACCAATAATACTCGTTCGCGCAAATAAAAAATAATTAATTTGTAAAATGAGTGCACGAAACAGTGTAATGCTAGAGGTACAGCCGGCTGAACTCGTAACAAGCCGAGATGTCCATGATATTGATTTTGTTTCGTTTTTGCCAGCGGTGGAATGCTTTGGTTCGATTATAAGTCGACCCCCCCACTTTAGATTTTCAAAAATCGAAAAAAGGGCCGGCCTACATTCGTGTAAATACGGTAGATGAGACAAGAGCTTCCGTGGAGTTTGTCTCGTGAAATTAGGCAAGATGATTTTTTGCTTCCAGTTAGAGAGGTGTTATTGGGGAGAGGCTTCTTCGTTTCTAGGTGAAATAATTGAATTTTCTTATTCTTGCACTTCTAGGTGGCTGAACTCCTGGAGTGTTATCTCCTTAATTCCTCTTGCTCCTTGTTTGAAGAAGTGCGAAGCCAGCCTTCCGGGCAGACAAGTAAGTGTTACGTCTTTACTGACTTTCTAAGTGCTTAATGTTAGGTTTCGCATAGTCCCGGTAAATGCATTTATTTAATGCGTAACGAAATGGCGCAGTCTGAAGACCCATGTAACGGCTGTTCTCTGCAAACGAACGAAACTTGGTGCATGCTCGCGAGGCCTCGGCGGTTGGACATTGTATGAGTTCTTATATGCGTAGTCGCAGTGTATAGCTGAGCATAGCCGCTGGATATTAGCAACACATAGCGGGGTTTCGTGGCACCAGTTATAAAACAGAATTTCATCTCTCGGCACTGTTTCCACTATGTGCACAATATTAAAAATGCCTGACGATTCCCTCTAGCTTATTGTATGTACCGTATTTACTCACATAATGAACACAATATGATGCGCAAACATCATATTAGCAGTGATGTGATTGCTGCGCCAATTGCGCCAAACTGCGCCAAGGGGCTAACCCTGCTACATCCTGCTACATTTCGCAAAAATATGAGTAATCTGCGCCAAGCCTGCGCCAAAGAACCAATTTAGGTTGCCTTTCGCAACCGAAACTAAACTGAGTACTGTAATTGAGCAGACGTGTGTTGTGTGGCGCAAGCGGCCACCTGACACAAAGTGCCGTGCATCAATTGTCCACCCGGTCTTTCATGGATTTCCCTGCGTCTCGCGTTTCGCACTCTCTCTTGTGGGTCTCGTCTCTCGTCTCTTTTTTTTATATTTTCAGCGATAGACGCGGATGTGTCCAGATGCTCCAATGCTAGCGTTCCGGGTACCAGCTATGCCGTCATGTTGTGAAACGAAACTACGTTTTTGCGCGGCAGAAGTTACTTTGTAAGCTGAAGCAACGGCCGTGGGAAAACTATATTGGGTCACTGCCTTTCAGTCACCGTGGTCGCGCGACGTCGAATGTTGCCGTCCCACATCACTGCAGATATGGTACTTCCTAAAATGAAACGAAGTACCGCCGCATGTTCACCAACATTCCTGTTCTTGTTTAAGTCATACGTTACTACAAAAATACATCTTTAATTCAAAGACTGCTCTGTCAAAGTACTGATTATCTAGATTCCTCTCGGTGGGTCTTCTTTCGAAAAGTACCTCGGTACGTGAAAGATTTGCAGCGAAATAAAGTTGAAGAGAAGTGAGCTAAAGCAAAGAAGGCAGTGCATGCATGCTGAACCCGCACAGCACGCTTGTTTGTCTCAAGTTCAGTCGTTGCACAAAGTGCTCCAAGAACGTTTCGAGGCTGGCTCGCAATGTCTTGCATCGATGCACTCAGGTTCTTTATTTTTTGTGTGTTTAGCTTGTACCTTGTTTGCCGGCCTGCTGGCAAGCACGCGCCACTGGACTGTTTAAGTCGCATGCTCGAAAGTTACATTTTGTGTACAATTTTGGGGATAAGTTAGCGACCGAGCTGAGGGCATGGTTTCGGTTTCGATCGGACAGCTGTTGTCTGCGCTCGCGCGACGAAGCATGCCCAACAGCAAGCCTGCCGAAGTTGGCCTCACGTGCATGCGAACATGATTGCGTGACTGCGGCACCAGCTGGGACGCTTGCAATTCAATGTTTTACGTTTGCTTACTTTTGACGAAAATCTGGCACGTCGGGAAGCAGTAAAACGGTGGCAAGCGGTTTTTCGAAATTGCTTGGCAATGCCTACAGCACTATACACTTGTGGGATGTCTGAGCAGTAAAAACAGAAGCAGCGAGTTCCGTCACAAAACGTCACATCAGAACACAACACAACACAAAGTGCCCTTCGTTTGTACAGCACTTAAAACAAATATTTTTATTTTCCTAAAAATATCTGCTCCAAAAGCCGCTTTTGCTGCTCCAAAACACTGTTTTGGTTGCTCCAAAACGTGCGCCAAAATGGCTTAGGCCAATCACATCACTGTATTCGGTGCCAATATGACACGGCAAGTTATTGTGGCACGTCTCCACTGATGGAGGCGAACCCATGGCTGGTCGGGGGCGCACCACAGTAAGCATGCTTTAGAAATTGTGAACCTTTTTAGGGTGCTTTCTGCATGCTTCTGCCGAAGGAAAAGCTCCCTGCGGAGCTCACTCAGAACGGATATAAGAACTCAACTCGTACGAAGTCCGACCGAAGTCTATCCGAGCCCAGGCTCGCTTGCACGGATCTAGTTTTGTTCACGGAGACGGCTGTTACCAGGGGCTACCAGACACTCGCAACTACGCATATAAGAACTCGTAAGAACTCGTACGAAGTCCAACTGAGCCGAGGCCTGCTTGCATGGGTCAAGTTTCGTTCACGGATATGCCTGTTACCAGGGCCACCAGACACTCGCGACTACGCATATAAGAACTCGTACGAAGTTCAACCGAGCCGAGGCCCGCTTGCACAGGTCAAGTTTCGTTCACGGAGACGGCTGTTACCAGGGGCCACCAGACACTCGCGACTACGCGTATAAGAACTCGTACGAAGTCCAACTGAGCCGAGGCCTGCTTGCACGGATCAAGTTTTGTTCATGGAGACGGCTGCTACAGTGTAGACCGCATATAACGTATATTGCGGGAGTCGCGAAAATCCGCATTATAAGCGGTATTGCGCTATAACCAAAACATAAATTTTTCAGGCCAAAATACATGACATGAGACAACTTAACTTTGTAAAACAATTTATTTTATGTTAGATGAAAAATAAAGCTTAAGGCCCGTTCACACTCTTGCGACCGAGTACGACTGAGAGAGACGAGATCTCTTACAACTTCTTAAATGTTTCTAGAATGAGGGAACACACTGACATTGTGGCGCCATCTATGCGGTGACCCTAGAACTGCATTTCACAAAAGCGAAGGTTTTGCGGGATTTCCGAGGTCAAATGTGCGTAATACCCATAGAAAGGCTCGTTTATAACATTGACAAAAGTTTTTCGAGCCAAAAAGAAAGAATATTGCGCGAGAAATAAAAAAAAATATGCCGGACCGCCGAGTTTACACTGCTTCCCAATAGATGGCGCCAGTGTGTTCTCTGGTTTAAGAAGTTTTAAGGAACCCAGGTTTAAGAGGTCGCAAGCAGTCGCAAGAGTGTGAACGGGCCTTTAGTTTGAGGAAAGTCTTTATTTCACCAGACTAGTACACTTCTCTCTCAAGTGTGTCACGCATTTTGAAAGAAATGAGCGACTTTTGCCTGGCGCAGCCTTTTAACGGCGTCGCGGGTTGCGGACGGACGTTGCGAGCGTTCAGGATTGCTAACCCTAATCACTTTTCTCCGGCGATGAAAACGCGTGAAAATTTGCATCCTTTATACGGTATGCGCCAGTAATACCTTCAACTTGAGCACAGGCATGAAATGCTCCAAATAAGAAATCCGGGCGATGTTCGAAAAGCACAAATGCTTAGAAGCACCACTGGAGTCGAAGTAAACAAACACGACGACACGGGCGTTTCTGCCGTCTTGAGAGCGCCGCCACGACATCGCCGCCACGACATCGCCGCACGAGTATGTGGATCTTCCATTCTAGTACGTGCTGGGTTATCATAGCGACACACGACGAAAATTCACAGTCAAGGATAGCGCTTTTACGCGGTACGATGAGCTTCTACCAAAACTGACGCCATGTTTGCGGATAAAAGCAGCCGGCCCGCGACCGGCATGCAACGCGCGCGAACACTTCTCCTCCACCTGCGATTGGTCTGTCGTTGCGGTTGTTTCCAATGCAGCGGAGGTACGCACGCACGTGAACGGCACGTGCATGCGTCCCTCCGTCGCTATGGCGACTGAAGCCTCTCTCTTCGCTTCTTCGAGCAACCTCCTTGCCCCGCGAGTGCCGTTTGTGGCTCGCGCCGTTATCTAGTGTCGCACAGGGAAGCATGCTCGCTGCGTCGGCGCGGTCGGCGGGCTGTTGCAGAAACCGCACTATAACCGGTATTTCCCTTCGTGCGCCTGCATTTTAAGCGGTATGTAATTACATGGACTTCTATGGGAGGCGAACCGGTGGTTTAAAAAAGTCGCGTTATACCCGGTCCTGCACTATAAGCGGTTACGTTGTAAGTGGTCTATGCTGTACCAGGGGCTACCAGACACTCGCGACTACGCGTAGAAGAACACGTAAGAAGTCGTATGAAGTCCAACCGAGCCGAGGCCTGCTTGCATGGGTCAAGTTTCGTTCACAGAGACTGCTGTTACCAGGGGCTACCAGACACTCGCGACACGCGTATAAGAACTCATAAGAACTCGTACGAAGTCCAACTGAGCCGAGGCCTGCTTGCACGGATCAAGTTTCGTTCACGGAGACGGCTGTTACCAGGGGCTGCCAGACACTCGCGACTACGCGTATAAGAACTCATAAGAACTCGTACAAGGTCCAACCGGGGCGAGGCCTGCTTGCATGGGTCAAGTTTCGTTCACGGAGACGGCTGTTACCAGGGGCTACCAGACACTCGAGAGTACGCGTATAAGAACTCATAAGAACTCGTACGAAGTCCAACTGAGCCGAGGCCTGCTTGCACGGATCAAGTTTTGTTCACAAAGACGGCTGTTACCAGGGGCTACCAGACACTCGCGACTACGCATATAAGAACTCATTAGAACTCGTGCGAAGTCCAACTGAGCCGAGGCCTGCTTGCACGGGTCAAGTTTCGTTCACGGAGACGCCTGTTACCAGGGCCACCAGACACTCGCGACTACGCGTATAAGAACTCGTAAGAACTCGTACGAAGTCCAACCAAGCCGAGGCCTGCTTGCACGGATCAAGTTTTGTTCACGGAGACGACTGTTACCAGGGGCTACCAGACACTCGCAACTACGCGCATAAGAACTCATAAGAACTTGTACGAAGTCCAACCGAGCCGAGGCCTGCTTGCACGGGTCAAGTTTCGTTCACGGAGATGGCTGTTACCAGGGGTCACCAGACACTCGCGACTACGCGTATAAGAACTCGTAAGAACTCATACGAAGAGTTCAACCGAGCCGAGGCCTGCTTGCACGGGTCAAGTTTCGTTCACGGGGACGGCTGTTACCAGCGGCTATCAGACATTCTCGACTACGCGTATAAGAAGTTGTACAAAGTCCAACTGAGCCGAGGCCTGCTTGCACGGGTCAAGTTTCGTTCACGGAGACGCCTGTTACCAGGGACTACCAGACACTCGCGACTACGCGTATAACAACTCGTACGAAGTCCAACCAAGCCGAGGCCTGCTTGCACGGGTCAAGTTTCGTTCACGGAGACGCTTGTTACCAGGGCCACCAGACACTCGCGGCTACGCGTATAAGAACTCGTACGAAGTCCAACCGAGCCGAGGCACCCTTGCACAAGTCAAGTTTCGTTCACGGAGACGGCTGTTACCAGGGGCCTTCAGACACTCGTGACTACGCGTATAAGAACTCGTAAGAACTCGTACGAAGTCCAGCCAAGCCGAGGCCTGCTTGCACGGATCAAGTTTTGTTCACGGAGGCAGCTGTTACCAGGGGCTACCAGACACTCGCGACTATGCGTATAAGAACTCATAAGAACTCGTACGAAGTCCAACCGAGCCAAGGCCTGCTTGCATGGGTCAAGTTTCGTTCACAAAGACGGCTGTTACCAGGGGCTACCAGACACTCGCGACTACGCGTATAAGAACTCATAAGAACTCGTACGAAGTCCAACCGAGCCGAGGCCTGCTTGCACAGGTCAAGTTTCGTTCGCAGAGACAGCCGTTACCAGGGGCTACCAGATACTTGCAACTACGCGTATAAGAACTCATAAGAACTCGTACAAGGTCCAACCGGGGCAAGGCCTGCTTGCATGGGTCAAGTTTCGTTCACAAAGACGGCTGTTACCAGGGGCTACCAGACACTACCTACAACGCAGCGTTAACCTCGCTGCGCCGTTCTGTTACGGATTAAATAAACACGTGTATGTGAAATTAGGCCTAACCACTTTCATGATTTCACTCTCCGAAAACGGACCACAGAGGACTGTGTGTTTGCTGACATCAATTCATCCGATAGGCGAAGAATGTCGGGGCTGGGCAATTCCTCGACCCAAGCTTCATCCTGTGTGCGCGCTACTCGGTTTCACAGTTGATCACTTCCACAACTACCGCAACTATGCACTTACCATGATCTATAATCTATAGATCATGGTACTCTGCCTAAATGCTGGGGAGAAATATTATAGATCGCCACCTACGGCCATTACGAGAGCGGCTTCGCTTGACTTCACTTGTCCTGACCTGATTGCTTGGTGGCGAAAGAAAATTGGCTTGGTAACTAGCTAAATTGGACGCAATTCCAGACTCGCGGAGCCGAAAATTGGAGGTGCGTTGATTACGCGAGGGGGAAAAAAAAAAGTCAAAATATTGGTACTTATAGGGGGGGTGCATTCATTATGCGAGTGCTTTCGTTATGCAAGTAAATACGTCAAAAGTTATGTGCTAGGGGTGCATAAATTCCAATGTGTTAACTTCAATATATATGCATCCTGAACCCATCAACCTTACTTGGATGCTGCTCCGTATCAGCCACTGCTTCTATTATAGTGCCGACACAGAGCAGTGACACTCCATGTGTGCGCTGGTGCAAAGCAGTGAAATTTGATGTGTGCACACTACAAGCATGACATGTGCAGTGGCACGGTGCATGGTTGTGAACTCTGAACCTCAGGTGATATGAAACTAGTGCAGCTGCTGGAACTAAGCTACCGAGCATTTCAGAAGTGCATATGTGCTCCAAGTAAAAAGAAAGAAAGACAAATGAGCTGTTGCGAGAGCCTCAATCTTTTCCAAGTCTGGTTCAAGGTCATGCATGCTCAAGCAGGAACGGGCAAGAGGTATTGTGCAGAGAGGCAAGAAAGCATGAGGGCAGTTGAGCGCATCGCACCGGTTGTGTCAAATAGCAGTTTCTTGGACTGAAGAACCAGGAAGGCAAAAGCAGCGAACAGGAAATACAGACGTTGCTTTGAGTGTTCAACAGGGCTGGAATTCATGAATGTAACAGCTGGCAAGACATATGAACTGAGAAATTATCAGTGAGGTTGTAACTGTAGTTATAAACTGACTTTCAGTTGGAAAACAGGTACTTTCCCTTTTTTCAAGTGAGCTGAATCAAGGGACTCTCCTTTGAGTTTCTCCAGATGCCCCTTTTCTGTCCATTGTGGATTAGCTTGTCTGCTGAAATTCGTATGAAAGGAAAAAATTTCCAGTCCTGCTGGAAAATACTTTGCAAGTCAGACTTCAAGCTCTTTGCTAGATGCTATTATTGTCTTTTGTTCCTCACCGGCCTCAGAGCCTTACAGTGACTCTCCTTTTTCCAGTGGCCAGGTCTTACCCCCTGTACGTGGGTGTGGATCCAAATGGCGGTAATGTGAACCCTTCCACCACGGCCACCCGCCTCCTCATGGCCTACCTGACGGGCACGCACCTGGAGAATGTGACCAAGGACGACTGCTCGGCAGCCGCAAAAAAGGACAAGGTGGGCATCGTTTGCTGTTTACCAGATGCTGCTGCTAGATTAAGCGAGTTTAGCGTTAACCAGGGATGCCCGCATCACCCAGGGCGTAACTCAATCTCTTTCAGCGCTAGGGCCTGCCAAAAAGTCCTTGAAAGGGGCTGTGAAACTTGTATTGATTCCGCTAAATCATATAGGTGTAATCTCTGATATTCATAAGAGGAACGTTTGTTTGCTAAATGCACGCTATAAACCGTTACAGGAAACACTGGAAAAAATCGAGCAGAATTAACCTCCTCAGTTCTTGGAGAAAATAAGCTGCCCTGCATTCTTTTGCCGGCTTGTACCACCAGTGTTCGTCATAGCAACACATCTAGCTGCTTGCAATGCTGAGAGCATGTGCTGTGTTTTGGATATTGTCAGAGTTTGGCGATCTTGGTCACTGCAGTGATTAGCCGCAATCGCAGATGCTATTTGCCAATGAATTAATAGTTAAAGCACAAGCCAATTTGCGATGCAGTGCTCATGTTGAGTCACTCAGCCGCATTCAGCCGTGATGAACCCGGAATTTTTCAGGCCTGAGTGGCTCATGGTAAATTCCGTAAGCTTTCCAATTGGTAGAAAGAAAAAATAGCCTGCTCTTATTTTCTAAATTTTATTACAGGAATTTCTGGCTTCTTACACTTGTGTGCTAGTTCTTTTATATCCCACTATGCAATATTTAGTCAGTGAGACACTAGCCCAATACTAGGTCTTATAGTTCCGTTGGAAGGAACTTCTGATTAGGTACTTATAGGTATATTTGCTTTGAACATAGCCTCAAATTTAGCGTAATAAAGAAAAGCATAAACATAGCTACGACACTTTATTTTTGGCTGATTCTTGTCTGGAAAAAATAACTTTTACCACAAGGTTTTTATTCTCCCAGAGCTACTCCTCAGAGATACTGTAAACTTCCTCAGAGATACTGTAAACAACTTAATTTTTGTGAGGACCTAATTTTGTAACTTGAAACAGGTTGCGAATAATTTATCACGCCACTCCAAACTGCAAAATTTTGAGTATGCCAAATATTCGCAAAACCGACGCTCAGTAATATTTATGAAACAGTTAGCCCACAAAAATCAAGTCATTTACAATACGTGAAATAAACCTCTGAACTAGTTGGGTCCAGAGATGTAGCTTTTGATTTCATGTAATATTTTTCCACAGCATCACACATACAATTGTCGGGACCGCTTTCAATCATAGAACTAACTGATAATTTGAATAATGCGACTGATTTGCCGAGAGTCAATCACACTTTATTGTAAGTTCAAAAGGTGGACAATAGAAGGCACGCAAACATGCAGTGATGAGTATGCAGATGTATCATGCTAAATTTTAGTGATTATACGGTCAAACGCCTTTATAACAAAGTCCGTGGGACTTCCTTATAAAGTCCACGTCGATTTCTCCCAGTAGGGCTGTCAAAGGCTGGTGGTCTGCCTCCGCAGTAAATTGTAGACCTCTGACATACTCGTCGAAGCATTGTACGGCCCAAATGACCGCCAGGGCCTCTTTTTCGGTTTGCCCATACCTTTGCTCAGTTGGCGTGAGTGCATGGAATGCGGAGGCCACCACTCAGCGTTTGCCCATTGGTTGGTTCTGCAGCCAAACTGTCTCAAGATCAAACGAGCTGGAATCTGCAGATATGATGGTTGGTTACTGTGGATTGTAGTTAGCCATGCAGACGTCTGAAATCATGTCCTTCACTCTCTGGAATGTCGCTTGCTGACTTGGACCCCAGAGCCAAACACTCTGTTTGTTCAGTAGCTCATGGATGGGAGCTGTAACGTCAGACAGATGTGGCAGAAACCTTTCCACATGGTTGACCATGCCAAGATCCTGCGCACATCGCCGACGTCGACGGGCGGTTCCATACGTTGCACGGCTGCCACCTTCTCCGGATCTGGTGCAATTCCATTTCCGCTCACTATCATGCCTAGGAAACGGACGCTTGTGATGCCAAACTTGCATTTGGCCTTGCTCAAGGTCTGCCCTGCCCTCGTCAAATGATCCAAAGCTTCCGCCAGTCGGCGATTGTCTTCCGCACTATCCCGGCTGAAGACGAGGACATTGTCTATCATGTTGACAATGCTGTTTTAACCTTCAAGAATGTAACTCATTTGGCGTTGGAAAAACTGGCATCGACGTAGTCTCGAAGGGCAACCGGTGGAAACAGTAGCGCCCGAATGGGGTTATAAATGGCATGAATTCCTGGCAGTCTTTGGCCAACTTCATTTTATGGAAACTGGATGTAGCGTCCAGCTTCGAAAAAACTGGAGCTTCACCAAGAAGTAACAAGACCTGGTCCACTTTTGGAAGGATATTCATTCATTTATTAATTTATTTTGAGTGGCCCACAAACAGCATGACGCCTTTTTAGTGGTGCGCTTCCCAGGTACGTATGTAAGAGCAGAACGAAATTATGAATAGGAAGAGAAACTTTAGAACAACACAATATAATCAACAGAATTTTTAAATCTATGCACGTTATCAAAAATATCAAAGCTACTATTCGAAGCCATCTGTTCACAGTGGTTATACAATAATTGTAGCCGTGTCATGGGTTCTGTTTTGTGCAAATCGGAAGGATAAAACATTGAATGCATACTGCATGAAATCCGAGGAACACGTAATTAAATGCAACTGAGTAATACAGATGGATCAATTATTTCATTCGCAACCTTGTGCAGAAACTTCAATGTCTCATTCTTCTGTTATGCAATGTATCCAGTTTCATCAGTCTGCATATTCTATCATGACTGTAGTAATAGTCTAAATAAAAGTAGCGATCATAAAGTACACGTATGAATTTTCTTCGAACACGCTCAATGAATTTGTAACTCCTATACGATTCCACACCACCACTCTTGGCATCTTCAGCCTGAGGGACTTGAATCGGCGCCTCTTCGAGTGTCAACCTTGGATTGCGACAAGGCCTGTCTAACGACTTGACATCTCGAAGGCTAACCACGAAGCGGTCCCGTATCAAACACTCCTCCACTTCGCGCGAAAGATAGTTACATTTTTTTACAAAGTTTCCCAGAACTGGGGAAAAAGAGTTGGCTGACTCACCGGCTTGTTGGGCGTGCCGATGAACTCTCGTACAGTTCGTTGGCAGGATGGATGAAGTAGCCGTCAAACTTCTTGGCAATGTGGTTGAATTCACTGAAGTCTGCCTCTTCCACTTGCAGCGAGCTCAGAATGTCGCATGCCTTGGGTCCCATGCAATACAGCAATGTCGGCACTCAAACTCAGTCACTGGCGGCTTAGAGGCCTGATGCGTAGCAGTAGTCTGAATAGCTGCCGCCACTGTCGCCATGCTCCGGGGTTACCGAAGTCAAACTGCAGCAGTGGGCGTAGGCTTGGCACGCCCACTGTTATGGGTCCCATCCCGGCTCCTGCCGGCTTGCCTGTAGCCATAGTCTCCGAACTTCGCCGCGGCTGCTGCCATAGAAGGCAGCCTAGCGAATCACTTCTGACACCATGTAGAGACCAGGACCAGACAATCTCAGCTGGGCCGGATGGGCAAAGGCCCACAGCTGGCTTTATTCACGGCCTGTATACATAACCAGGGTGTCTAGCGACCGGGAAAGCCGGGAATTGTCAGGGAAATATTAATTACCGGTAAGAATCGGGGAACTGTCAGGGATATTGTCAAAAAGCAAGCCCAGTCATGTCATCATTAACAGAACTTAAACAGAACTTAGGAGAGAGATTGCGTTAGTTCGAAGCTATATATATAATTGTTTTCACAAATATAAACCAGTTGCGAATGCGCTCTTGTCTCTTGACTTCCTCATTCTTGTATTTTTTGCGCTTCTTTAGGTGAGCTTAATATATTTATGAGAGCCTCTTTTGTGGTTTATATGGACATAAAAATTATAAATATAACTTAACGTAGGCCGCGGATAGCCTGTCAAAATTTGTAAAAGATTAGCTTAGGAGGCGAGCTTGACATTTTCCTTTAAAAAATTTAAAACGGCCAGAAAAGTTTTTTTACATTAAGACCTTTTCATGGTGTCCACAAAGTTATAGACAGAAACAAAAACAACGTAGAGACGAAAACCAAGGGAGAAGAGGGGGGCAAACATGCAACCTTTGACTGTCGGGAAAAACATTTGTTTCCACCTCGTTCGCTTCTGCACTCCGTACTTCGAAAGCAAAAAAGTCAACAAATGTGCAGTTTTCACCTTCCTTCTATACCCGTTTTCACCTCAAGAACCGAAGTAAAAAAAGTCCGGCTCCTCGCGGAGCATTACTAATTTTCCCTTTTACGAGGAGAATTCATATATATTTAGGTGCATTTTAGATTAGATATATGTTATCTAATCGAGACGTATACGTTTCAAATGCCAAAAGGATCGCTTCTTCCTCCGACAACCAAATCTTGTAAGAACTACTTCGCCCGGCGTATGAGCAATGCGCAAAACATCCTTTTTTCTTGAGGTGAAAATGAGTATACAGTAAAACCTCGTTATAACAAAGTTGAAGGAGCGATCGTAATTATTTCGTTATAACCATTAGTTTGTTATAGCCAATGTCCATTTCTCCCCTATTAGCAAGCAAGGGGAATTATGATTGCTTTGTTATATCCATTAGTTTGTTATATCCCATTTTGTTATAACGAGGTTTTACTGTAGATAGCAAATTCCCTACAACAAAAATTTTTTTAATTTAAACTAAGGGTTTGGCTTTTTTTGCCTTTACGATTTGAGATGAAATCGGCCAGACACCCTTGCTCTCATGAGTCCTTCCAAATGCACTGACATGCTTGCTAAACAAGAAAACGAGTCTGCGCATTGCCCGATGGGCGCATTGAAAACCAAAGTAAATAAAAGTATGCACAAGTGCGTGGTGGAGATGGCGCCGCATCTGCTGTGCCGTGCATTCACGGTTTTAGGTCTAAATAGTTTGTTAGTGTGTAACCTCGTGTCCAGATGGCACTACTTGACTATGTTGCTGCATACAGGCTTTCTCTGTAGCAATATAGTCATGCAGCGCTATCTAGACTCAAGATTGCACATTAACAAAGTATTTGGATCTGAGAACGTGCGGTGTGACGATGGCAGAGGGGTGCGACAAAGGCAGCGTAGCGGTGGTGGTGCATCGCCGCTGCCGCAGTATCTATTTTCTACGCGTGTCACCTGAGAGCGACAATTCACGTAAAATAGATTACTTTTTAGCTAGAAAATTCGTAATTCAGGTAATTTTTGCTTCGTGGGGCCACGTGACTGCTTTGACAAATATTTTTTATCCAGGAATTTTTTGATGTGTGAGAGAAATACCTTAAGCACATAAGAGATTGGCCGGGACTTTATTCTATTTCGTTAAACGAGCGTTTTTGTAGTAGAGGCGTTCGTTATAAAGGTGTCTAACTGTGAAAGAGGGCATTGTAGTGTGCTTATTCGTAAGGTTACACGGTTTCAGTAGTTTTTGGTTATTTATGGCATGCCCATTTAATTAATCCATAGAGGAACTTACTAGGCAGTGCACTGAATTGATAACGTCAAACATTCCTTGGCTAGGTGTTTGGCATTCCGTGAAGCTCAGATAAAAGCGTGGCTCGATTTGTGACGAAGCTGACACAGAGGGGGCCGGACGAAAAGTTGCGAGGGGGACGGGCCAGGAAAAGAGAAAGCAAAAAGAAAGTGAAGACTTTCTCTGGACAAATATGGGGATGCCGGACAGTGCCGATTGGAAGTTCTCTGTGTTTCTGTCTGACCCCATTTGAGATCAAAATTGTTGTGTGGTCTTTAAGTCTGTTTGAGGAAAAGACAAGGTGGGGGCCCTTTTTTAGTGTCGTGCTGGGAGCCACATGAAACTGCCTCGTGGGCCGTAGGTTGCCAACCCCTTATTTAGATTATTAAGTGAGTGTCTTCCCAGCATGTCATGATACACTGCCATGAATGGAGATGTGCTATTCGGCGAGAAAGCCCTGCTGATCATCTGCTCTGCATCCGGCAGATAGCAACCTGATACCCTGTCACTCGTTTTATTGTGAGACATTCTTTGGCTAGGTGTTCGGCATTTCATGAAGCCCAGATAAAAGCATGGCCACGAGGCTCGACAACGATTGGTTGATGGGTGGGAGAGGAGTGAGGTAGGCAAGGAGGAGCTTAACCACGTGTGCGCACTGAGGGAGAGGAGCTTGAGAGTATGGAAGGCTCTAGAAGATCGGCAGGTTTATCAGCCTGATCAGCGGTAGTATTGCTGCATTCTAGGAACAACTATTAAGTGTACACATGGTACGTGTTAAACTATCTGATAAGGAATGCCGTGAACATAGTCTGCAAACTCAGAGTATCGCTAAACGTTTGTGATGCTAGAATGTTTTCCTGCACGCAACACAATTGCATAGCAATTTGTCATAAAGTTTTTACTTTTTGCCCATTGCAGTTACTGAACAATTTACGACATGGCGGTTGCCCGTAAGTGTAGCTGCGGCGTTTGAGGATTTTTCGCAAAAAATTAAACTTACCTTGATACTTCATATGAAGCCGCTTTATGCAGAATCCATCGAGTGTTTGTGTTGGCACCCCCAATAAATTACCCCAAAGGTCAAATGGGCAGAACAGGCAAAACAAATTAAAATGGATCAAATAAGCACACAAACACGACAAGTTCTGCATCTGTCGACTCTATTTCTTTTCAAGAGGGACAACCAGTTAGTCCTTCCGGTTGATTGAGGATTGAAAAGAATGGAGGATAACAGGAACACAAGTCTTAACGTTGAAATATTCCATTATATTTCTTTTTTTGTTTGTTTCATAGTCTTGCGTGTCGTCGCAGACAAGCTGCAGTAGATTGTGTACCCTAATATTTGCTCCAAACTACTATGTCTTTCCAGCCGTACCACTATGACTGGATGCACGGAACTGAAAACCAATCGGGGATTTGCGTCAAGTCCATAACCATGTTGACAATGGCCCGGTCACCTGCCTTTGAAATTGGAGGTTTGTACTAATTTTCCAAAAGTTGAGTTTTGATAGTAATTTGCGACGACTTTATTTACTTAAGGAATAGTCTCACCGTTTAAAAATAAGGCCCGCTTATCTACTTTCTCATGCAGCTGATTATTGTGCCCTGTGGGACCAGCTTAGCAAATGGAGTAGTCCCTTGTTATAACAAAGTCAACGGGATGGCAATAAAATTTTATATAAGCAATAATTCAATAAAAGTGATAGAGCAAAAAAAAAGAAGAAAAAAAAAGCCAGTAGCCTTGAAGGTGGATGGGAACACTGCGGAACATTCTGACCGTATATTTAATCAAGCAAACCTTGGTTATGAACATCTTGCAGCAGCTTAACCGAGTAAAAAAAATAATTAAGTGGAGTTTGCCGATAATTTTATCCGGGCATCAGTTCTCCTCGAACTGTTCCGGGCATTGCAAAAACACTGTCACGGATGCTGCACTCCACTTTGCGTCGAAGCAGCCGTAGGATGTTTTGCGCCTCTGCAGTCGTTGGTGTTTCCCGAGGTGCCTCTCCGACGTAGCTTTGTGTTTACCCTGGCCCTCACGCAAGGTCTGATCGCGGCATCCGTGGCAGGAGCAACAACGGGAATGTCCGCATCGACAAACGCAATCAAATCAAAGTTACCCTCGATGGCTTTGCCAACATGTTTTCACACACTCCTGCAAAGATTGTTGCAGCTATGAAAATTGTGCGCCTGCTTGGCAAGCATACTCGTGAGAGAAAATCTGACGTGCGCGAAGCAGTTGTTGATCTTTTATCTTTGGGTCCCGGGCGCGCTTTCTCCTGCACAAGAAACTTCTCGAACCCATCCAATATGTTTTGCTTGTTCAGCAAAATGGTGCACAGTGCCGAACAGCCGATGCCAAAATGTTGAATTCTTTGGCAAGGCCTCCTTTACCATAGTTTATGGACTAGTCCGAGCCCGGTGCGTAGTCTGCAGGGGCAAATTTTAACCGAGAGAAGCAAAAAACTAATTTACTTTGGTAGTTTGCACCCAGCACGGAGTCTGCAACCTGTGCATGGTTTGTGCCTGGTGCATATTCAGCACATAAACATACTTTCCTACCCAGCACACTTTGGAAAAGGCCCGCTTTATTAATGCACAAAAAACCTTGTATCTTATAGAAAGAATCATCATCATGAAATGCATCCTGTATCGTCACAATGAAGGATCTAGAAAAACAAACCCTCGTATAGTCTGCATTGCGTAGCATTTAAACTTTTAAACATGTATAGTTCAGAAAGTGTGGTATCTGTAGAGTTGCTCAACATGCAGCACTCACCTAATTTCATGGAAAATGCGTTTCCCTTGGCAGATGTGGGGTCGACCAACTACTCAACGTGGACAGAGAGCGTGTGGGAGGAGATTTCCCTGCAGATATTCCTGATGCCCAGCTGGCAGCAGGAGGCAGCCACTCTGTCTGCGGGCATCGCTGTCTTCCTCGTCTCTCTCGGAGTGGTCTTCTGCCTGAACAAGGAGGCGGCGCTACTGTTCACGCCACGCGCCCTGGTGGGCATCTAGGGACACGACACAAATCACATTACTTTGGTTGACTTGAACCGGGGCCAAGGCGCAGGCACCTCTCTGCCCCCACCGGTCGCCCTCTAGGGTCCCTCGGGGGGACTTTGCCTTGGGGCAACACTCCATTTCCACCGTTTTTCTCTGGAAAGGGGTGCTAGGGACGCTGGCTGGTGGGCAGCACTTTTCTGGCAACTTCTCTGTGTACACTTTTCCTTCTCCCTTTGCCATGCTTGATGAACGGCCGGGACATTCGATTGTTGCATCCAATGATTGGTTTCCTGCGCTAAATGGAAGATAATGGGGAGTGGAGTCTCCTGGTTTCTGGACTAGAGCACTGCACAGGCCTACTTCTTGAGGCCCGATTCATAGTTTGACGGTCAAAGTGTGCCCCCCTACTGGGTCCCTTTGGAGCTTGATACTGCAGTACATTAGGCCGGAAAAGAAAGATACAGTTTTCCATAATGCTCTCACCGACACTTATAGAGAGCAACAAAGAACAGCATTGTTGGATGTTGATTGATTAGACAAGAATAGCACGGCTGTTTGCTCATCCACCACGCTTGCAGAGTAGGCAGGTCATCCAGTCCAAGCTCGGAGAGGTCGTTTGCTACCGATACGGAGCCCAGTTTGAGGGCCGGTACCGAATGTTCGGGTAGGCCTGTGCAGGTGCTTTATTGTGGAATATTTGGTTGTTGAAGGTTAAAACTAAACTAAAAAAAATAATGTAAGGGTGTCAAAATTAAAATTATGCTTTAGCGACTGCATTAGTATTGAAGACACTGTCAATCTTCTCACTGTCAGGGCAAGCCAGGCTCACCTCAATTCCAATCGGCATTCTATGGAAGTTGTGAGTACCAGCCCACAGCCACGGGGAAACCCTGCACCTTATTTTCGTGCGGTGAGCTCGGGTTTGCTTTCACAACTTTCAGAGGTGTGGAATTGAAGACTGTGCATGAGCCATACTTGTTCACGACAGCACTGAGGTTGAGTAAAAATATGTTGGTGGCACTTTTGTTACTTTTGTCATTGCGCCGTCCTAAAAACTGCCCGTGGCTGCAGTTCTTAATGAAGAGTTATACATACGAGATAACAGAACCATGACTCTGGATAGTTGCACTTTTGGATTACTGGGTAGTTTGTACCTATTCATGGCCAGTTTCTGACTTTGTCCTTTGTAAGAATAGTGACTCGCCCAACTGTTCTCAAGCATGGTATAGGTTTTTCTAGGTCTCATACAGGTCTTGCATTGCACTTGCCGTCCTAGAACTGGCAGACTTTATAATTTAAAGTGAATGTTGGTTGTCCTTTACTGGGAGTGAAAATAAGTCAATTGAAAACAGGCTCGAAATCTAATCTGGAAGAAAACTAGAGTGGGTTAGGCAATGCTGTTTACAACTACAAATCAACGTTTTTAGCTGGCAGCAGTCTGTCCATTCTTGTTTTCTTCCCCCTTTTAGTGTCCTACAAACCTGCTCAGTTCACCCTTCTCATTTAAGCTGCCTTTTATTTCGAGGAACCTAAAGGAACGCTTCTATTTCACATGCACGTTGCACAATTTTTGTTTACTGGAGTAGTGGCAGCGAGCTGTTGTATTGCTGTCAATACTCCATCTCGTTGCCAGGATTTGGTACTGCTTCCTCCATTTGTTTGCTTTATGGGGAGCAAAATGTGTACATTTCAGTTCACCTCTCTCCTTCACCTCCTGTGTTTGCAGTTCTTCAAATTCATCTGTGGTGTTAGCCACAGGCATATGCAGAAGTGTTTCTTACATTGATGTTAGTGCTGGTAAAGTTGCCAAGAGGTGTGCCTGCTTTTGGGCTGGGAGGCTCTTTCTCCTGCCGTGCTTTGGCTCAAAGCTTACTTCCTGGTTGCTCCGAAATCATTCAGCACTGGTCAGAATATGGACAGGTCTACTTGAAAGCTGTGCATTTCTTGGAGCAATGCAACAGCAGGCTAGTATTATGCAGCAGCAGACCAGTGGTGTGTGGTGGCAGGGGAACTGGGCAACAAAGTGCCTTCGTCTGCCAAAATACTGTGATTTGTGTGAGATACCAATTGCCAATGTCGAAGAATGAAGAAACTCGTCCAACGGAGTCCTTTTACGTCATTGTATAAGGCACAGTGGTTATAACAGGGACTGCTGCATTTTAGGAAGGTTGCTGTACTTTTTCTTGTGCACTTTCTGAAATGCTTTTTTTTTTTTTCAATGAATTTTGATTTTATTTGTATAAACTGTATCATACCTGTATGCTTCAATTTCCTCCTTTTTATACAACTTTACCTTGAGATGATTGTCTGTCTGTATGACAGAATTCCGTGAGAGTGTGATATTTATTTCATAATTATCAGTGTGTGTGCTGCGTACTTAGGTCTTTTTTTCATTTCAAATAAAACTTGGTCTTAGGGGTTTGCAGTGTTTTGGACCGGAGCGTGCAGATTCTGCAAGATTCTTTTTACATTAATGAATGTTTATAGTTCCTAAAGTCTGAATAATGAAGCTCCAACCAAATCTCAGAATGAATCCTGACGTTTCAAAACTAGCTGGGTTTCTTCTTCAAGGGTGACTGAAAGCACACGGAGTAGCAGCAGCATTCTTTCAGTCACCCTTGAGTGAAAGTGGTGAAAGCAGCTCCGCCTGCTTTCAGTCACCCTTGAAGAAGAAACCCAGCTGTTTTTGAGATGTCTGGTTTCTTTCCAAGATTTGGTTGGAGCTACATTTTTAGGACTTTAATTCTCACCCATCCAGAAGGCAGATTTCTGCCAAATCTGTTTACTTTATAGTTCCTGTATATGTACATTTTTCTATATGGCTGTATACTTTTTTTTTTTACAGTGTTTTTTGGGCTATCACTAAAATGTCTAAACTAGAACAGTTCACTTGTTCACAGAAGTCTATAGGCATGCCTTTGATCACCTTGTGGCAAGATTATTCTTGCTGTTGAATCAAGTGCTTTCTTTTTTATTCACTGCTAGCAACTACTTCTAAGTTAACAAAATCTAGTCTCGGATGCTGAGTTTTGCTTGAGTTAAATGCAATTCTAGCAAGTTTTGGGTTGTTTTTCACGATGTATGCGCACCTTTTCAGTGCTTGTCACCCAGGCAAAAAGTGCAGAGTCATTGGGCCGTGACCGCATGCATAACATCCGATATTCGGTGGAAGGGAGTTACTGCACATGCTCGGAGCAAGTTCCACAGCCTAGTAGACAAAGATGACAGTGCACAGAACCTGAATATTGGAATGATTTATGTATGATCGAAAAATGTGAACATTTTTGTCCTCATTTTCAATGCACAAACATACACCCTTCATCACTTCTTACCTGAAGACAATATGCTTATCTTGGTTTCTTGGTTTCTGGGACAACTCCCTTCAATACCATAGTACGAGACATCTGAATAAAGAAAAATGTTTACTTGAGGCTGGCATGCAGCATTATTTCTTTGGCAAGCTCAATAATGCTTTACGAGTTTATTTATGATGCCATATTTTCTTGCTGAGAGCTTTCAAACATTTGTAATGCTTGTAATTTGATCAACCTACTAATTTCAGAATTCTTGAAAAAAAAAATGTATATATATATATGCAAGCATATCTTGTAATACTTTTAAAATTGTTACAGTTTAGACAAGCTAAGATGAGATGTCATTTATTTTCTCACTAAATTGTCGCTTATATGATCTGTGAACAGAAGCAAGCATGTATTTTCTATCATAAATGTTGGTGTTTTTAAATTGAAATTTATATTACCCTTAAGATATAAAGATATTGTAGATGTAGCTTACTTGGGGGCTTAAAGTATAAGCTGCTTGTAAGCGATTTGGTGAGTGACGAGACAAGCAACGGTGGCCCGCTTCGTTGTCGCTCGGTCAGTCACGCAACGAGGCAAACCGCATGAAAGCAATGGAAGCAAGCGACCAAGGTGATGAGCGGCATTTTCTAGAAATGCAAAAACAAGCAACGCGACGATCGACAGAGAAATATTCGTCGCTGTCGTTCGTCTCGTCGCTCGCTAAATCACTTGCATGTGGTTCGGCCTTAGAAATACTTGCGCACGTTCCTACGTTTGTGGTAATTCTAATTGTGAAGCCTGTAGGTCAAAAACATCAGTGTGAGTGTGTTCTGAGGCATTTGTGAAAGCTAAAATTCCACAAATGCCTCAGAACACATCTTTATGTTATGAAACCTCAGTATAATACTTGGTTTGACTTTATATAGGCACTATTAAGAACTATTATTTTTAGATCTTGAAAGAAGCTAAGTTGAGACTCAATTTTGAGCACACTGCACGACACTGTTGGTGCAAACACGACATCAATGTTTTTTGTTTCACTCGGTGTATTGGGAAGTTATTGTACTTTTTTGGATACCTCCGATAACAATATGATTCATGCGCAAAAGTGTCGGCGGAGTATCGGGTATCGGAACAATCTATTGACTATTGATGGGCACTAAACTTTACCAAGGTCATGGACCTGAACGACAATTTTCCACCACGCCAGTACTTTTACGGCTGTTGATCAATTTTTTAGAGAAAGAAAACTGACCGTCACTCCTTTGCACCAGCAGTATCACATTGTGTACTGTAGTGAGCTTTAAAGTGGATTTTAAGGCCTTTATGGTGATAACTCTGTCTACCCAATATTTCAATGATGCGTGGCGTTTTCTTTATTAAAAATGTGACAAAAAATATTGCAACCAACCCTTTACTTAAAAAAAAAAGTTAAAATTGTATTTTTTAATTTTTTAGAATGTGGGGGACATAGATTCAGTTGCTACATATTTAAAAAAAATGTTTTAGTGCCATTCTACAAGAATCTATTAACACAATGTTTTGGGTTTGGCCGTAGAGCACCCATGGACCCTTGTAAAGCCACAATTAAATTCATCACCTTTTAACCTTAACATTCCTGTGAACAAAGTGTATGTAAACATTCTAGTTTTGTATAGGTGAAGTAATTTGAGCTGGAAATGGTTTACTAGCTTCAGTAACTCTATGTTCCGTATATTTGCTCTATTATATGTTGCAAGTGTTCATTGTACAGGCTATCAGCGCCATTTCTGAAGAGCTTCCTGTTTGAGCGAGCTGTTTGTACGAGCTCATGAGTTGCTTGATCGAAGCTTGCAGTACTTACAAGAATATAGCTGATTTAGCAGCTGATTGGTGGGCATATATATTAAAAAGGCTCAAATCTTTCCAATGTTTCCTGAAAACATTTGAGCATTTGGCTTATAATAGTGTTATTTGATGTAACAGTGCAATAAGCCTTACAACATTTGAGTGGAATGTCTGCTCAACTGTCTGCTATTCAAAAATTAACTGATATTATAGTTCACCAAAACCCCCAGGTGGTCACAGTTAATTCCATCCTCTGCTGGGGTCTGCCAGTTGCCCTTCATTGGTTCAAAACTACTTAAGTTGCAATGCGTTGGTTATTCAAAATGTTTTTCAGCATGCTGTTAAGTGTGTTAATTTCTTACTTTCCTAAATTTTGTTTACTTGCCATTTTTTGAAATTAAAACTAAACTCTTACAAAAAAGTCCTCTTTGACCATTATTGTTCACAAAATATCTACTACTGGTCACAATTTCTGCTCAGAAACTTCACTTCCCATGTCACATAAGCACAAACTGACTTTTATTTGGTGAAGATACATATGTCAAATAATAAGCTTACATACTTTAGATGCAGTCCCTATACAGATGATACAAAGCATGCACACTTTATAAATTCTCTACATGCAATGACAGGTTGACCAGAATGTCAAGAGCAACCAAAGTTACAGCTATAAACAGCTTCTACAAATGGGAGCTTTAAAATTTTATGCAACAAAAATTATAGATGTAGAGCTAGAATATCAGACTTGTGCACAAGATTAAACTTATATATTACTTTTCATGAAAATGTGAGTTTGTTTCCATGGTACACAGTTACTGGAGTCATTTTTCAGAAATGGTAATGAAGGCCACGTAGATCCAAATGACAGACCTGCATTGTGACAAATGACACACAATATGAAAGTATGACAGTCAATTACTCTAGACATGAAGCCAATGGGAGATGCAGGTGACACTTGACATTATTATAAGAAAAATACCCATCTACATTGAGGTTCATGGGTGCCCAAACAGAGGCAAATGACAACTTTCCATGCTTCTTCATAGGAACTGTTGAATAATAGGACTGTTTGCAGTCCACCAGACGGACACCAACTCATTTACTGAAGCATGGATCCCTGAGACTCTTAACACACGAAATTGCTCTTTCAGACTTATTTGGTGTTCTATACTAGCAAGCATCTCAATCTAGATTTCAAAGCACAATGATTCACTACTAAGACAGCGAGTTAAAGAAACAAATATTTACAAATGCGGTTACGGACAGGAAATAACAATACAGCTATGTTGAGCAGCATAGGATTGAGATTAGATACAGACTATTACCTTGGACTGTTCAAACAAGCAAGTTGCTAAACATAGCGGTATTGTTTTTGGCTTCTAGATATTGGGACATTTCATACAGTAAAATTCATTCTTTGTGGCACCATTCCATTAAAAGAACAATAGCCAGCAAACGTTTTCAAAATATGAATTAACCTGCCTGAAAGTGCCAAAATATATTGACCTTCCCAGTGCCATAACATACCTGGTTCTTGTATTCACCAAGTATAAACTGGGCCCTTCATTTCTGGGTAAAACCCGAAATTGCCCCATATATACACCCCACAAACATGTTTTCCCAAAAATGGTGTTAAACCCATTTTTCTCCCAATTTGGAACGAAAATTTCCCATTTTTGACTTTTGGTATAGTATAAATGTGGAACTCAATAACGAAACTTGTTGAAAGTACTCATTACACAACCAACGCAAAAGATTAAGTAATGCTCTCTGGGAATTTTTAATTTTTATTTTCGGAAGGCAATTTTGATGAGAGCAGTACCTCAGGCTACCAACTGCCACACTGATGATGATGTGCATTGCAAATGGAAGCTTTGATGTTGAGTAAACATTCTCTTGGTCAAGATGTCTGAAGACTGGACAAGTCTACTATCGGGCCAAAAATGCTGTGCATGCAGATGATTATGTACGTCAACAAATATTTGTTGCAGATTGAAATGGCCATGTGAGCTCTTATATCACCTTTTAATGTGACTATCTGCATATTAATGCCTTGTTTGTGCAAACAAAAATTCCATGTCCTAAAGCTGATCAATATTTTTGATAGTCAATTATTGATATTGATATATAACCCGAAAAGCCCAAATTTTGTAATAGCTTATAAAAAATACGATCTCTCCCCTATTTCGAGCTTGAAAAATGCTGCCTATTCCCCCATCCCCCAAGTTTTTTTGTTTTTTTAAGTTCAAAACACGAAAACAAAGGGCTTTATGTTTTCACTATAGACCAACAAACCTAAAAAAAATGACCAAATTCCAAGCCGATTTTATTAAAATTTGGAAAAAAAAAAAAAAGAACTTGCAGCTATATCTGGTGTTGGCCTGGAACACAGCCTGCACTGAAGGCTGCTGCTTTCATCAGGACTTTTTGTTTGTCTCGTTTCTTCTCTTTTCGGTACTGAGCAGTGGCATCATCAGTGTCAGCAGCACTCAAGGCCAATGGCCTGCCTTGCCCTTCCTTCCTTTCCCATCTTCACTGCCCACCTACACTCTCCAGAGCGCTGCACCTGAAGAAATCAACCCCCCCTAGTGACTGCACTGGTACTGGGACATGTTCCAAGTGTTTGGTTTGCACACGTGCTCCCTGGAGGTTGGGGGACATCATGCCAGCGTCACGTCTTAAGCCCCCAATAAATGCCAATCTTTTGTCCGACATCGAAAAGAGGCAAATCTGAGGAAAGAAATAAAGCCCGAAAAAACTGCAGCCTATTTATAAAGCTGCTAATGCAAGCTAAGAGGAAGGACCAATTATTTTATCTTCTAAAGTATTTTGCAAGTAGGTTGCAGTTACAATTTGTGTAGAGACACTTAGTCCAAACATGCAGCTGAATAAACCACATCACTGAAATAAAATAAAACTACTGAGCGGGATTATCTCGGGCAGAGACAGTAATCGGGAAATCAGGGTTTCTACCTCGGCCCTGACACTTTTTTTTTGTGTTTTCTTATTTTGTTTGATATAGTCCATTTATCAAATATCTGGATTGTGCACTCCAAAGACATTGAAAGAATGACAAAACTGCTCTTCGGTAAACATAAGAAATAGGACTCTGAATATGCTAAGTACTACAAACATTGCTGGTATTACACTTTCAGGCAGCTTTCTCATTTTCTAACACGCAGGAGGGAGTAAATAACACAGATTCATAATGATGGAACACTTCAATAACCACAACTAGGACAAGCAGCAAAATATCACTTCACGCAGGACAGTCATGCAAGAACACAGGTGAGACACAGGACAGAACAAAATTTGGCACTACAAACTATATTCCTAAAGCGTCAAAAGGGACACGTTTCTCGGAACTTTCATGAGGTAGAACTGTATCTTTGGTCGGTATTCTTAACCTTGATGCCATAAATTTGGCACATGTAGCAACAGCACAAAAGAAAGTTGCACTAGTGACACCTGACTAGGAACTGATACAGACACTGACAAACGTCTACACAAGTGTTTGCTAGGGGGGCACCCACGTAACAATACAAAACAGCACACAGAAGGAGCACAAGAGTGTAAATAGGTTTCTCTTTTGTAACACACCTGTCCAATCAGTGGTGAATGGTCGCCTCTTCACAGAAACTTCCAGAAGCATTAACCGCTACTTTGCCAAGAGTTATTATGATGACATTCTGAACCCAAGCTTTGCAAACTGTGTTAATGAGTGCCTCGAGCTCATTGTCTCGGGATGTTTGCAGCCATTCACCCCTTCTTCCCCATTTTCCAACAAAAAGCACACAATGAAATGAGACACGTATGAGCACATTTTAACATGAAGTACCCTGAGTAATGCTGGCATTCGAAAAGTCTAACACTTTTCCTAAGGTTTGTATATCTGAATCGGGCAATCCACAATTTACATAACATCCGCATCATTTTAAATTTTAAAGAACTCTCTCGGGAATGGAAATAAGCATAAACCAAGTAATCTCATCAAATTTTGCACAGTTGCTCGTTAAACTGTGCACTTCTAAGTAAAAAAAAAAAAATAAAAAAAAGGTGCGTTATTTATTTTACGCAATAATCGAAAGCTGGTAATTAAAAGCACAGCATTCGATCCTGTCGCAGCAAACGCTTTGCTCATCTCCATGATCCTTACTTTTCAGGCAAAACCAACGAAACAAGGTGACTAGACAGAGATGCGCACGAGCCACCCAGCCTACTCCCCAACAGCCACGACGGCCTTCTCACTGGTGTGCAGCACCATGTGCGCCTTGAGCGCCGAGAACTGGAGGAAGTGTTGCCCGCACGCCGAGCAGGAGTACGAGGGCTCGCCCATGTGGGCCTTGAGGTGGCTCTTGAGGCTCGAGAACTGCGCAAAGGCCTGTCCACACACCTCGCACTTGAAGGGCTCTGGCCCCAAGTGCAGCTTCATGTGGTTCCTGAGGTGGGTCTGCCTCGTGAACGTTTTTGAGCAGATGCTGCAGCGGAACGGGAGCTGCTGGGCTGACTCTTGCGGACTCAGCTCCCCCGTGTGGACTTTGGAGTGGAGCTCGAGGTCCGTCGCCCTGTCGAAGGCCTCCCCGCACAGGCGGCAGGCAAAGGAGGCCGTCCCCTGCTCGTGGATCTTGACGTGCGTCCGGAGCGTGGAGGCCTGCGCAAAGCCCAGCCCGCACGTGCCGCAGGCGAAGGGCCTCTCCCCAGTGTGGATGCGCATATGCGTCTTGAGCTCGTAGGGGCGCGAGAAGGACTTGGCGCACAGGGTGCAGCGGTGGGGGCGCTCGCCCGTGTGGATCTTCATGTGCCCACGCAGCGTGGAAGCCAGGGTGAAGTCCTTGCCGCAGACTTCGCAAGAAAAGGGGCGCTCGCCGGTGTGGGTGCGCAGGTGGTTCCGCATGGCGGACGACTGGAAGAAGCCCTGTCCGCAGACATCACATACAAAAGGGCGCTCGCCAGTGTGGATGCGCAGGTGGCGCTTGAGGTCATAGGAGCGCAGGAACTGCTTCTGGCACACGTCGCACTTGTGTGGCCGGTCACTGCTGTGCGTCTTGCGGTGGGCCCGCAGACTGTTGCTCGTGGAGTAGGTCTTGCCGCAGAGCTCGCACTCGTGCGGCGGGTCCGTGGGCAGGAGCCCCAGGGCGTGCAGGGGCTCCTCGGAGCACAGGCGCAGCTCCTCCTCGTGCTCTCGCGCGTGGTTCAGCACCGAGCAGGGCAGCGTGAAGGGGCGGTCACACACACGGCACGCGACCGAGCCCTCCCGCCTGTGACTCTGCTGGTGCCTCTTGAGGGAGCGCAGGTGCAGGAAGTGCTTGGGGCAGCTCGGGCAGCGATGAGGCCGGCGCCGCAGATGGAACTTGGTGCCCTTACGGAACCCTGCGCGCACGAAACAAGATGTAGTTGCCCAGGTGGTAGAACTGGCTCCCTGAGTGGGTTCCCTATTGCCAGGGAGAGTGGATCAATGCTAAAGGGATCATATTCTTAAGTGCTGCCACATTAAGAGTGCTTTGAAACCTAGTTAACATGGCACGCAAGCAGCACAGCAGGATTTGCTTCGTAGCCTCTGTACATGAGTCATCTAGACTCTAGGGCAGGGGTCTCCAAACTTTTTGGCCAAGGAGTTGGATGGGGGTCGATCGCAGTCCCGAGGGCCGTAATATAAAAACGTAAAGTAAAAAAAAAAATACTAAATGAGTAGTTCTCGTCTTTTCTGCTATGTGCGCGTTTGGCGTGCATCGCGGCGCCATCTTTATACACATGCTTATTTTTGTGTCAGTAGCAGCAGGCTCGCTGAACGCGGGTCGCGGACAGGGCGTACTGGAAGGACTGAGGGCAGCCTTAGGCCGGTTGGAAGGCATTTGTGGTTTAGGGTTTGGAGACCCTTGCTCTAGGGTGTAAATAGATTTAAATGGTCTTTATTTACTGAACATTGTGTCATGTCATAATCACTAGCAGTCAGCAGCGGGGCAACCCCGCATTGTGATACCCATGGTTCACGTAAATGCGTAGCACCCATGTGTGTTTAGAAACTATCCTTTTACTTCCATGCAGACATTGCTGCCTCACACCACAATGCATGCACTTGGAGCACTAACCTGCAAAGGGAGGCAACAGATGTTCGGTGCTGCTGTGCCGTAAATGAAAGACGCTGTGGATGCTGATGCTTTCGAACGATGGGAAAAACCTTCCACAAACGTCGCATTCGTGCTTGCGAGATGGCAAATGTAGTGTCCGGGCATGCTGGAGAACATCCACAGCAGACAGAAAACCTTTTCCACAGTAGTAGCAGTAGTGCAGGGTCTCCAAAGACGACAGTACTTCGTGTTGACAGAGCTCCAGGCGAAAGCGGAAGCTGCTTCGGCACCGGTCGCAGTGGAGCGGAAGCTTTCGAGGGTGCTTCACAGCGAGGTGGCTCCTCAGAGTCTCGGGAATGGCAAAGCGCTCTCCGCACTCGAAGCAACAGTAAGGCTTGACACCAGTGTGGATGAAGAGGTGCCGAAAGAGGATTGCCGCACTGGTGGTAGAGTACAGACACAGAGGACAGAGGTAGCTTTCTTCCTGGTCACCATTCAGCTGCTCGATAGGAGAAGGCGGCAGCTGGAAGCGGCTGTCCATTCTGGGCTAGGGGGGACAGAAGCGTCTGACCTTTTTCCTGGATGCCCAAAGAAAAGTGTGTTGGTGGCAGAATTAGTTTAAGTGGCCAAGGCATATGCGTTAAAAAGATAATGTTTTCATGGCTTTAACCAGAGATCTACATTGAGTTCCTGAGAAATGAGAACCGTGTCTTTCGGCCCTGGTAAATAAGCTATGCATAGCAGAAAGCTCAAGCTCCGTGTGAATGTGACGCTAGTGGTTAGAATAGAACGCCAAAGTTTGGAAACATAACGTTACCTGGCTCCGAAGATCATTGAGAAAAACAAAATTATTCCACGAGCCAACGTTCACCTAAGCCTAATGTCTTTGAAACGAGAAACATTATGGGTGCCTGTAGCATCCATTTCAGTGAAACATACTTTTCAGAAAAACAAACAAACAAATAGAATCTCTTTTTTTTTTTTTTTTTGCTGCCAAGTGTTTTTTATTGATATAAATCCCACAAGCATTCACAATATGAATTTTTTTCCAACTTTTGCGTTCTTTTCCAACTGCTAGCGCCACATTTTCACGGAGTTAGAAATGTCTGTGATGCATAGTTTATTTAAGCGGGCTGAAAAACAAGGTTCTATTTTCTTGGGAACTCTCTGGATGTGCTTCACAAAGTATAAGCCATAAATTATCTGCATGCATGTCCCGCTGCTATTGAAGATCCACCACAGGGCAGAGATGAAGGAGAGGAAGTTGAGAAGAAAAGGATTAGTGTCAGAGTAAAATCTTTCTTTCTGTTGGCAACGAGATGCTTTGGCGGCACCACCTCGCGGGAGCCCTCCTGCAACGGATCTGGTTGGATGCGAGCGGACGACGCGCTGTCAAAGCACGGAGAGGCTATGTTAGTTTGCATCTATGCCATTTAAAAACAGTCTATTTATTAAAGAAACGTGAATGACGGTTCTGTGAATGATCATTCTAATGAATAGAAAGCACCTCATAGTTGCTTTCTATATGAAAAAAACTTCAAAATGTTCAAAAACAAGCCTGGAGCTTCACATTACAGCTCGTGCGGAATGCATCGGGGCTATTCACTGCTTCCTGCTTCTCCGATTCTTGTTTTTTCGGATCTGCGGAGTCTTTTGTAGAAAACGGTTTTGTATTCACCAGAGTAAATGACGTGCTTTCATCTTAACTGTGTGCACGCACGCACAGTTGTGCTGCAAAGTGTGGCACACTTGTTTTAGCTACATTGAGCTTGCCGATACCGACGTTTCCATTCAAGTGCAACTAAAAGTTGCTGACCAGCAAATGCTCGTCAGCAACTGTCGCTTAAAGGAGCTGTGCAACAATTTTTGTACTGTGCACAAATACCGCTTAAAACGGATCCCTGACGTTAATGACCTATGAAACACGCGTTCGGTTTTCACCCCACGCAATAGAAGTCCCAGAAAAAAATTTAAGAAAAACGAGCAGCGTTCACCCCCTCAACTCGCAGCCAGAACAAGCGGCCACGTGATGTAGAGCCGATTATATGCCGCCAGTGTTGATCATAGCCACGCGCCGGGGTTGGCAAAGCACAGGACACGCGCTGAGTTCCAGACATTGTTATGGCTCGGCTGTTGTCGTCGTTGCAGTGATTGGACACGGGTCACAACCCGAATGCTTCCCGAGCTAGCAATTGTCACGAGCCCAAGTCGAGTGCCCACGCAATGCTCGGGTCCAATCTATGAACCGCATTCAAATATCGTCACTTGGGTGTACTGCGATCCCCGAGTTACGTCATCAAATTTTGCAAGGGAGAGATTGAATGAAAATGACCGCTTTTGTCCTTGAAATTACACCGCAACAAAGGAGTTTCTTGGCCAATGGCATTGCGTATGAGTATCCTTGAGTCCCAGCTGTGCCAGTAAGCTCGTGTAGAGAGAAAAACATTCCAATTGAATATCGTTGCACAGCTCCTTTAACTCCCGCATTGAATATGTGGCAAAGAAGTTTGTCACATCGCAACTTTTGCTCAAAAGAAAAGCAGAAATTTTCAAAAAATTTTAAATTGTTGGACATGGCGTGGCAAATTCAGGTGATTGATTGATTTGTTCTATCTTATTTTTACTAAGGATTGTTTACAAAGTTAAAACCGCTCACTGAGAAGCGCATCACACATTATACACGTGTCCGCAAAATGACATACAAACGGTAGCAATTCATAGTAGGTGTATATCTCATTTCTTGGGACGCTGAAGAGTTACAGACTTAGAGGACCTCGATTGCGAGGGGTCTCGCATGTTTCGCATTGACCGGATGGATAAGCAGGGATTCAACTGACACGACTTCAGAAGCTAGCCACCGCTTCTTCGTGCCAGTTATTTTAAGAAAATGTTTATCTACTGGTTTACATAATTCAAAAAGGAATCAATTTGAAACTAATAAGAGGCCAGCACTCAGAGAACACATTGAAACCAACAGGATACACGGAGTCGCTTTCACTGAAGTGTTTACGACACATGCGAGAGGTTCTCAAATTTCTCTGAATGAAACATTTGTTTCTCAGTCTTATTTTGCCCGAATCATATTTAAAAAAATATACCCTATTCACCATGGTAGATGTTGTAATGGGGGTAAAGCATTAGATATTCTTTTTTCATTACCCAGCTTTTTGTACTGGGGTAGAGAACAACCCACCATCCCAGCACTTCGACACCTCAGTGCCAAAAGTGTTTGTTAGCGCAACTACCCGTGCCACAGTTTCAACCTTTGGTAAAATGCCCTACTGCAAATATTCCTTCACCAAATAAACACAATGCGTGAAACAGGCTTTGCTGTGCGTTACCTAAACAGAGCATGAAGCAAGCTGACGAGCCGAGGGATTTAAGATCTGCATGGTCTGTCCCAGTTTGTCCTATCCGTGATGCCACAAACGATGATGATGATAGGTAGAGAAGCGGCCTCTGCAGTTTGCACACGTTGCCAATGGTCAGATACAACATAAGAAAGACCGTGCGAGAGGTAAAAAGGTAAAGGTGCGCACGAGAAAAGATGTTGTGGAAACAAATACTTTACTATACTCTATTTCACCTTATGATGTACCGCAGGGAAGGCTACAAGCACGAGCACCTTGCTCTGGGGTCGATCTGGGCGGCAAAAGCTCTCGCGCATAAAGGTAAGCTGCGAAGGCTATGAGCTCGCGCTTCTAGCCTTCGCTGAGGTACAGCGTAAGGTGAAACGAAGTATAGGGGAATACAGGAGACTTCCCAAGAATACGTAGAAAAAGACGACAACGAAGATCCGTGGAAACACGTTTGATGGCGGCAACGGTTCTGTCTTCGCATCCGCAACCCCATCAACTGCACTGCATCTCAAGGCGTTACCTTGACATGCTCTGGCGGCGAGAGGGGGGTGGCGGAAAGAGGCATTGCCAAAAACCCTTCCACCAGGGATGGTTTACGGCATGACCGTCGTTCTGTCAAATGCAAATGAGGAGAGTGTCCTGTATTTTCCTAGTAAAGTATTTGGTGGAAAGGTGGTCACTCCTCCCCACATCAACTTTCCTAGGTTCCGTCCTTTTCCCCTTCACACTATCTTTCTGATGCTGTATCTGACTTAGCGTGGTTGATAAGCCGTCTGAACCGATTTTGAGCGGCGAATCTTCTGTCGAAAGAAGATTGGACCTGCACTGAATGCACACAAAAACTGTCCTTATAAAAAAGATCCTGAACTGCCCCAAAATTATATTTTAGGCAGTTAGATAGGACATGTACGTATGTCAAGAAATAAACTTGCCCCGAAAAAAAAAGAAAACACAACTTTTAGCTGTATATGTGTTTCACACAATTGATTTAATTAAGCGATTTCCAACTAGGCCTCTATTTTAGGGTCGACGTCTTGAAATAGAAGTACATTTCGGAATTGGTCCCAACTCAAAATTCGTCTCTCAACCTAAATATTGTGTTAAAAGGATATCATTTTTTAGGGAATACTTATTTTGTGACATATGTCCTATCCAGGCAATTAAAGGAAATGTTTTGGGAGAACTCAGTATACCTTGAACAGTTTTAAATTCCAGAGAAGGCATATTTATATTTAACACATACTTAACCAGCTTGTGTTGAGCATTCTTATTAGATCTTCCGACATGGTCAGTTGAAGAACCACCATCTTCATGCAGAGCAAAGCCAAATCACTGAGGCAATCTTCAATTAGCATCAACCAAAGTATGGTTTTGGTCAGTTTCAGCTAGGTAAACTGTATTTTGTATGAAATTTCGCTTTTCTTCCTGCACAACCTACACCAATTGACTATAGAGGCAAACTGCAATCCCACGTTGCTGTAAGCACCCCTGCAAGTTGTCAGCGCATCTAGAAGGTAGTCAATAGACCAGTTGCAAAAATCTGAAAAGGAAGCGTGCCCAAACAATTTATGGCTGTGTGCTCGTATTCATTCCCATATCATCCACAAAGTGGCGACAAAGGGAGTGAGAGAAAGAAAGGGTACCACAGTTGCATCAGGGTGCGCACCTGCCTTTGCCCGCTCTTGGTTCCGTCACATGCTCTTGGCAGAAAATTGAACTAAGGGGTGCCTCGTACAGCTTGTTTGCCACACAGCTCAGAATTTACCCAACATAAAGCCTCTGTACTAGATGCATTTTTTTGTCACCTATCTCGATCGAGCACAAGGCACAGCCTAGATATAAATGCTGTGTCGGTGTTCGGCTAGGACTAGTGTTCAGTAGGTGCTACACCGATTGAACACAAGTCCACGCTGAATGCTGCATCTAAAACAAGCAAGCAATTTGTGTTTCTTGACAACACAGCTGAAGTGAACTGCTAGGAGCATGACTGTTCAAACTCCTGCCCAATAGCCAATTCATACTGCTAGTTTGTGTCCTTTCACAACTTGCTTGGAGGCCATGCAGGTTACATGACGAGCTCCTCAATCAGGTTCTCATACCCAGCCCCATTCAATTGTTAGAAATCGTATGAGACGTGCTTCTGGACATTGCTAGTAACCAAGTGCAATGGAATTCATGCATACAACGAAGAGACGATTGGGTAACGTGATGGTGTTCCTTTTAGTCCTTGACCAGTACAAAGCAGCAAAGACTGAGCAAAGAAGATGTGGAGATCTCAGTTTGAGCTAATTAAACTGTCTTTTTGCTGGTCTTGCGTAAGGACGTTAACCGTCACCACAAATGGCACTAGTTTGAATTGTACAAGTGGTTACAGAACTTAAACATGTGCAAAGCTCGAACTGCCTCTGCCATTGTGCCAAATAGCACAAGGCAGATGCGGTTTGAAAGACAGAAAAAATGATAGTAATCTCTACTTATACAGTTGCCAAACAAAAGGGCCATTTCTTAACTAAAAATGACAGATCCCTACTTTTCATGTCAGTATCAATTTGGAAGCAGTAGAGATGCAGTAACTTTAAGGACGTTTCACATCCCTGTGCTATATCAGACACAGACATCATGAGTGGGAGGTGGGAAAGCTTGCATGCCGGGCCAGGCTATTTCAGTGGAAGTGGCAGTTTTTTGGCCTAGAGAGCAAATGTCAATGACGGGAGTGATTTATGCAGCATAGACGTTGTTAGCTTTTCTTGAGCATACCACACATACCTAAATTCAATTCAATGTTTCTGGTTTTATAACTTTTCTCTCTAACCCGTCGAAAAAATGAAAACTTGGTGCTTTGTAAAAGGTAAATATGACTGTTTTCACTCCTATGCACAAAATATAAACCATCAGGTTTCCCATCCCCTCCCCTTCCTCCTCCTTTCCCCCCCCCCCCCCCCCCTCCTCAGGTGCCTGATATAAATTTCTTTTCCTCCCTTGGGGAAAAAAAAAAAAAAGAAAAGAAGAAAGAAACCGCACCCTTTACGCGATTTAGTCGGCTTCAATAACAAACAGCAGTAGATCACCAATGGAAGCTTTCTCAAAAACCCTCAAGATAGGGCTTTTCGTTTCTCCCACCAAGCAAAATGTGCATAACTAATACATGTCTACACTTTAGTAGTACAATAAGACAAACAAAGTGTCAAATAGTCGAAGTGATTTAAGCGCTAAATGTCCCAATAATTCTGTCCGTGTGATATTCTTAAACTACCGGAAAGGCGCTTTCTCATACCGTACAGCTACAGCGGATACAGTGATTCGGTTACTCATATTACTCTCTTATTTATTTGGCTGAAGATTCGCGAAGCATATAATCAAACAGTTTCAAACCCAGAAATATCGCCAATAAAGGTGCCCATTGTTAGCCAACCCGTGGTATGCCAGCGGGCAAAAGCACTATGTCAGGTCTAAGTGGACTCGTAACGACCTCAAGAAATTCCTTGAAGGGTCGGACAAAGAAAAGATACATACCTCAGATGTAAAAGCAGGAAATCCAGGATGCTCGGATCGGAGTGTGTTTTCATCCTATCGTTCGCTCTCAAGACAACACTGAAAATCAGCAAAGACGAGTTTTTCAGTCCCTACTCCCCAATTTCCGTACCGTTCCCTTTGTCGCAGTGGCGTATTAACAAAAACAAATTTCGAAAATACCCACGAACCACGGAGTAAAAAACAGCTGTGTGGTCGTTTCAAATTGCCTCTCAGTCTTGTAAACCAATAAAATGGAACGTAATCTCGAATAAAGACCCAACCGGATAACTACTGACGCTGCAAAAACAGAAGCGACGATGCGCCTGACGCCCGAATCCCTCCAGCAAGACAAAAAGGAAAAAAAAAGGGAGCAGGGAAGAAAAAGAAAGAGGCTGACTCACATTTTCTGTTTTTCTTCCTCTCTTGCTCTTCTTTCCCGCATCCTCTCTGGTGGCGCTGTATCCGTCGTAACGGTAAAAAAGTGTTGCTTGATCTTTGTCTAATCACTTGGAGTAAATAAAAAACTAGATACGTTAAAAATAATTTCACAGCGAGAGAAAATTGGATATCACTGATTAAATCGTCAGCGCGTCAACATGCCGTGGATAAATGGATACATGGCTCTGGGGACGCACATAGATCTATTCATTCTCCCAAATGATTTGAACGTGGTTAGGTGGTAGCTAGTGACACCTAGCGTGGTTTTTACGTAGCAGAGTCATACAAAGCAGCATTGGCGTCCAATAAACACATTTATTCCATCGTCCGGCAGCTGGATTAAACATCACTAAACCTAACTCACGAGGGCGCAGCTCCCATGCACCAGCTGCGCATGCGCTTGTTATATCGAGTGCATTTGCGCCCTTGGGAGCGCTGGTATGGCAGTGCCGGTAGCGGTAGGACTGTATGATAGATCGTCCACTGACAGAATATGGCAGAATAACAACGCCAGGAAGGTCCTTCAATTGTCCCGCCTGTCGTGAGCTCCAAACGCACACGCGCAGCCAAAAGAGCAATGGAACGTAACGTGCGCGTGCTGGAGCAACGCCTCCTAGAAATAAGGCCGTAGCGCTCTTCTTGTGACGTCGCAAAGGAAGGCCATCGGGGGCGCGCGTCGAAGCGAAGGCAACGCGCGTGGATCGGCCGTTGTAACGCGCTTTTAGTCACATACGCGTGTGTTATTAGCTCACATGAGAGCTCCAGAGAACAACGGGTCTAGAAAACATTTTATTAGACGGGCAAAATATTACACCGCTAAATAATCGATACGAAATGGCACGAGGTATGCGTATAAGACGTCTATAGAAAAATTTGATTATTTTAAGTCGAAAACATTGAGTCACGCAATTATTGCTGTAGGAATGCATATTTCATACAGAAATACTTCGACAAAATGGCGAGACACGCAGTGATCGGACACAGCAAAACAGATCACAGTTAAAAATCAAGTAGCGTAGTCAACGCGGACACGGCTAGACAAGTGTCACTTACGATCATGTAAGCGATGTTATAGCGTGCAGTCACTGAATTCTTGCGTTATACCGTGGCCATATGGCAAAATTAATGTAATTTCGATCGAATGACCTTATGGGGTCGACAAGACTGCGAGCTAATTAAAGCCCACACCATTTAATGAAAACATATTAACTTTTCTGTGGGGCAGGGGTACTAAACTTACTATTTACAGTCAACTAATTTACTTCTCCCTATAAGCTCGAGCTGCCCTAGAACAAGATATAACTTATTTTGTATACAATACATAATACTATTACCTTAATACAGTTAAGATTCCAGTATAAACACGGTAAAGGCAATAAAATAACATTAGTATAAATAAACACAAGCACAAACAACACACTTTCAATAATAACACAAATTTGTTATTCACCTTCCAGTAAAAACTAGAATATTACCACGCTTTTTAGAAATGTCGACGTACCAGCACACGGATAACGACGAAGAACGAAATTCCATTCTATCCCAAAATAATAATAATAAAAAAAAAACGACTGCAAAATTTTATTCGCGTCCTACATGACCAAGAAAACCCGTAAATAAGTTGTTTCTCATCTGTCGATCGTATCCATACGACCCACAATATCCGTCACGAAAGCATTTAAATACAAACACCAAGAAGTCTTTCTCTGTCGAGAGAGAGAGAGGTCTATCGATAATCGATCAGTGTCATTGTTGGCTAGTTGCCGCACATGTCACTCAAACCGTAGCAGGACTTGTTCCGCGAATCCTCGTAAATGCCGTAGTATTAAAAAAAAAAAAAAAAAAAATTATTTGAGACTGTGGTGACGACAGAAAAACGACGGGAAGAAGGAAATAAGTGTCAAAAGAACCACACACGAGAGCAGCTGCAGCAGTGTGGGACGAAAGGCTTAAAGGGATGCTGAACCGAAATCTGGATTCCCCAAAACACGCGGCAAATGCGTGTTTTGAGGAATCCAGATTTCAGCGATATCTCGAACGGATGACCGTATTTAAAAAAAAAAAAGAGGCGCATTTGGCAGGAATGTTGACGTCGTGTTCCTCCGAGAAGGAGAGGGAACGGCCTCGCGTTGCGACATATCCAGGCTAGACGCTATCCTGTTTTCAATGAACAAAATTGCCAATGACGATAGCCTGTCATTTGCCATGGTTGATCTTAGGTATTTCTTAATAAGCTTTCCTCACAAGACGACGAGGACACCCAGACGACCCGCCACCCGTTGTCACAGGGGAGTGCGACCGGTGTAAGTCCGGACAGCAAGCTACGCTGGGGGGGAGGGGGGGGAGCACCTTGTTTGGGGATGCACAGCGACAGAGCATATTCGCCGAAGTGTCATCCGCGGACTACCACATCAGCTTCGTCCTACAAACTTCCAAGAATAGACGAGTCCCGACGGCGAACAAGCAGACAGAGGCAGTGCTTCAGTCCCTCCTGAAATTCATTCGGGAGGCAGGCATTCGCCATCTATTTTAACATATTTTCATCTGACATCATCCCCATCGCTCATCTCCTCCCACAAATGATCTGAGATCAAGGTGGTGAGGGCATCAATAAAAACAAAACGTGAACAACAACAACAATTAATAAGCTTTAATTTTGAGGAACTCCTCTCAGCGGTGGCCACTGACACTGGCAAAGTGAGGAGGATCCTCAATGATACCCACATATAGGGGAAGTCATCACGTATACACATGGTTGTCCAGAATGAACTGGAGGACGTCCTAGGGAGCACTGCATCCAGTGGACAGCAGGCTGCATAGGTAGATCAGCCGCTCGCAGAGATCTGTACCGTCGATGTCTGCACTTTCCAGGCATCCCAGGCATGGTCAAGGCATTGGCACAGTTCAAGTTCTGCTTTGTCGGCAAGTCGGGTGATCAGATCAGTTCAGAACGGGAGCTACCTCACGCTGCCAAACCGCCAAACGGCCGAACCGCAGGCCAAACCTGCCCGCCGAAGGCCTTTGGAACGCTCGAAACCGGTCGGATCCTCCAGCCCATACGACCGCAGCGCCGCCGCGTACATCCGGTAAATTTCTACGCTCGCCGATTCACAGCAATGCGTGGCGCGCGTCGGCGCCTGATCCCAGGGCCGTACCCAGAAAAAAATTTCGGGGGGGGGGGGGGGGGGGGGTTTAGGGGACAACGGCGGCCATTTTGAAAGTGTCTATTGTCTTATTTTCGCCTATGAATCATGTGCATCGGTGGCATATAATGGAGAGTTACAGCAAACCGGAGAACCGGTCCCGGTTTGGTACCCGGTAGCCGACCGGCGCGCCACTGCGCGCGCGCAGAGGTGGAGATTAAAATCGGCTGGCTGCAAGTGCACCGACCAGGGCCGTACCCAGAAAAAAATTGCGGGGGGGGGGGGGGGGGTCAGAACCCCCTAACCCTCCCCCTGGTTACGGCCCTGCCTGATCCCATTAACCCTTTCTAGTATGCGCCGCCTTTTCCACCGCTTGGTGGCTGGTAATTCGACGGGTCATTTCTTGTTTCCATGCTTTATAAACAGCCTTTGTTCCTTTTCTGATCTAAAATACTGAGCAAAAGCTACCATCATAAATAATGGAAAAGGTTCGAGCCACTTATATATTGTATTTCGAAAAGAAAATCACTTTTAGCGGCTCTGATTAGTCGTAAGGCAGGAACTGGCCAGGACCGACAGCGTCACAATGCCGTCATGCACATGCCGCGCGCGTTTGGTACCACGGGGCGCCCCCGTAGGTGGAGGAGGCTTCCGCGTCGTCCGATTAAAATATGACGCATTGATACTTAGTAGTCCTCTCCATGCACGATGAGTTGCCCGAACCACAAAAGATGTGGAAACCGCAAAAAAATATAAAAAGAAAAAAAAAAGAAAGAAAGAAAGAAAAGATAGACGCTTAAATAGGATTGCAGGACCCCTTTAAGCCCTGATTTTGAACTCTTTTTGTTCGCGTTCCGCCTATTGAAAAGCATGCGGGAAGCGCTTCAGCACGCACCTCGTAACGCTGCACCACAGCGTTCTTCCGCAGCATAAAGGCCGTCTGCTTCCATCGCCGTCGCCATATGGCAACGAACGCCGAATAACCTTTTTGGACGGCGTGGGTATCACTGAGAAGAGTGTTACCCCCCCCCCCCCCCCCCCCCCCCCCTTCCCAGCTCGCGTTCACGCCACTTCGCGGCGACAGTCTGCGGCTGCTCATTACAAAACCTGTGGCAAGCAGAGAGCGTTCGGAAAATCGGCGTTCGTTGCCATGCTGAAGGCGGTGAAAGCAGATGGCCTTTATGCTGCGGAAGAACACTGCGGTGCAGCGACACGATATATGTGCTGAGTCCCTTTCCGCATGCTTTTCAACCAGTGGAACCTGAATGAAAAATGTTCGAAATAAGGGCTTAACGCGCAAGGCTGGTTTTCTCTAGTGCCTCATGATTTGACTAGCCTTACACGAATGGCATGATTTTAGACAGGTGTGTGAAGATAGTTTTTTTTTACAATAACATTGGTTTAAAGTATCAATGTGCCAACGCAATTACCTTAAAATATATACGTATAGTTTATGTTTCTGTCTCTGGTCGTGCTTTTAGAAATACTTCCTGAAGCTTTAGCGTTATTGCCAGAAAACTGTTCTCCCCATATGTGACACCATCTAGTACCAAATGGTAATGTTGTATCTAGAATCTTATTATTAAAAGCTTGCTATTTTAGACGAAATCATTCTTCCGCGCAGTTTCTCGTTGGAGAATATTCCATATATTGTGTGTTCCGTACTGCTTTCTTGTTCTTCTAAAGTTTACTTTTCTATTAGAGTGAAATAATAAATATTTCTAGTTAATTAGCGCCTGTAAGGTGGTATATGTCTTCTTTTCTATCCTCGCATTTACTTTTGTCGTCAGTCTCTGGCATTTGGAAGTGGGCCAAACAAACCAATAA